TGATTGCCCTGGTTTTGAATGCATAGGATGCATCACAGAATTGCGTCATGTATGTCATTATAGAGCAAGTGAGGGGAATGAACTTGAATGGAGCAATCTAGCTAGTGATGTGGTGCACCGATAAATCTTTGTGACGAATAGTATGGATTATGTCGCAAGTTTATTGTGTAGGGAAGTATGCAACCTAGGGGAGAGCAATGCAATAATTGGCCACGCTTTTAGCAGAGGAGAAATGTGTAATATGAATTTTGTATTTTAGAGACTACAGTAAGAAGCATAACTTCAATGAAAACGAGGGTGAGTATCGAGGGACGGATATTGTTTCATTTCTACCATCAAATCCTCTCGTTCTATTGGCCCCAAAACCGATGCATCAAAAGATTCTCGTCGATCTTCTGGAGCTACTACAGTATTTGTTGCCAGCCCAGATCGTTGATCAGATTGCGCATGCTCGTGAAGTGCTTTGGACGAGCTTGGCTGCTTGTTTAGGGTTGCCCAGGGCACAAGAAAGAAAATCGGTGGCTCGCTATGCAAATTTTTGTGCCTATTGGATCGTTCATCGGTGCCCTAACCTGGAGCGTCAGTGTTTTCCGGCAATGTTTTCCGCATTCCCCCCAACATTTCTCATACAGCGCAGCAAGTGGTGGCTGTGATCGGTTCGGACAATACTGTACGTGATCTGCTAGATTCGATCGAAGGCAGCGCGTCGCGCCACCGCATGGCCAACGCAGGCCGTTTCATGCCATACATTCTGGCCAAAGCATTTCTCTTGTCAACAACATCAACCAGCCAGCAGCTGCATCCATCAAGTGGACTGGATCGAGGGAGGGGGGGAGGGGGGGTTGGGGTGAGGGGGTTGAGTGGACGAAAGGGAGGGGGGCAAGTCGCTCGTCCATCCAGAACTTGTGCTGGCGAGAACAGAAGCAGCCAGTGGGTGTACACACGATGCCCGATCCATGCACGCGAAAATGCCCTGCACGCTGCAGAAACTCTGCCCGCGTGCATTCGAGCCCGGGCTGTTGCACCATGGTTATAGGCACGCTGAGCCACTTGGGCAAGTAGGGTAAATCACGACAACTGCAACACACCAACAACAACCGCCCCCGCCCCGGAGTCTCGTTGTCTGTAGGCCAGGGACAGGCAGAGCGAAAACTGTGGACGAAATGAGTTTGACGTCGCGCACCTCTTCGCTGCCTACTGGGTGCCACGTCGTGGTGTTTCAATGTGCGCCAAACACACAAGGCGCACATTGAAACGCCACGTGGAGGCTGCCCGTGCAGCTTTGACGCACGTCAATGTTGACGTATGTCTAGCTGACCCACGTCACCCGATGCGGGTGAGCGGTCTCGTGTGCATGTTAGAGCCCCAGCGCTGGGAACACGGCCACCCAGCATGCGGGTTATACACACGTGTACTAACCTTTGTGCCCACTAAACCCACGTCACCCCGTGTGGCCTGTGGTTAACCATGAATGTTACACGCACCTCCGCGTGCCCATTCACACGATGACTGAACCCTCAGCCAAAACTCAACATCAAACCTCAAAAAGCTAACGGGAAGCGGGTTCGAGACAAGCGAGGATAAAACGAACTTGCAATTCCCCTCGACAATCACAGTATACTCCCATTTTTATTTCAACAACTATGCCTCGTCTCTACCGCCGCGCGCAGCTCGCAGTGCACATTAAGAAGGCGATCTGCGCGCATCATGTGCAGAACCCTCTCATGCGCCATGTTGACTTGGCGCGCTGGTGTTTTACTCGGTACGGGCTCCGTCCCGACCGCAGCACGGTCGGACGGATTTTGAAGGCGGCGGATCGTTGGCGCGCGCCCTCCGCGGACAGCAACCCCGTCCGTGTTCGTGGCGGAGCCCACCCCGACCTCGAAAGCGCCATGGTGCGCTGGATCTCGAACGCCAGCCCGGCGGGGATCCCGCTCACGCTGCAGACGATCCGCGACCACGTCGCGGTCATCGCACGTGACTTGGGAAAGCCGCCGACTTTCCGCTGTTCCGTGGGATGGGTGCGTCGCGCTTTGCGCCGCAATGGCATTCGGTGCCACAGCGCTGCTGGGGAAGCCGCGGATCAGGACATGGCTGCGGTCCGCACTTGCAAGGAGAAGCTCCCGCAGCTTCTCCTCTACCTCTGTGTCTCCCCGCGCGACGTGTACAACTTCAACGAGACCGCCCTGTTCCTTTCGGTGTTACCCCGGAAGACGTACGGGCGTACACGGGTGGCGGGTCGCAAAATTCCAAAGGAGCGCCTCACGGTCGGGCTTCTCGTGAACGCGGACGGGAGCCACGCATTCCGCCCGCTCGTGATCTCGAAGTCGAGGCGGCCCCATGATTTCCGCCCCGACTTCGACCCGAGCCACTGTGCTACTGGCGCCACAATAGGAAGGGCTGGATGACCGCCCCGGTATGTGCTTCACAATTTTCCAATCAATGCATTTATGTCATTGTCGGTTCACGCACGTGGCCATGATAGCTTGTACTAACTTAAACGTCCAACCCCCGTCCCTTTTCGTACGCTTGTGCGCAGCTTTTCACGCTCTTCATGGAGCAACTGAACGCGGCCATGGTCGCTGAAGAACGCCACATCGTTATCCTGCTTGACAACGCCTCGAGTCACGTGCTCAAGACCGAGGATGCCGAGACCGAGGACTTGTTCGGCTTCCGCACGCGGTCGCTGAGCAACCTCCGCCTGGTGTTCCTTCCGCCGAACACCACCGCTTTCACTCAGCCGCTGGACCAGGGCCTCATCGCCATGACGAAGGCCCGGTACAGGCAGCATTGGCTCGAGGCCGTCGTCGAAAGGTGGGTGGAGGGCGGCGCCACCGCGAATTTCGCGCGCTACAAGCCGAACCTCCGCGACGTCCTGGCGTGGCTGCTGGACGCCTGGATGGACATAGGCCCGCGCACGATTCAGAGGTGCTGGTGGCGGACGGAGTGCCTCCCCCTCGCGTGGCCTCTGTCTTTGTCCCACGTCGGCGCCGCAGGCCTGACTCCTGGTGGGCGCGGCGTTGCACCGCTCGACATCGATCTCGATGAGGAGATCGGTGACGTCGGGATTCTCATATGCCGACTTGCTCTCGGGCCAAGCGCGATGCCGGCCGCCGACTTCGTCGCAATCGACGCGGGGCAGCCGACATGCGCCGAGCCTGGGGAGGATCCTTTGGCCGAGGAGCCTGCGACGGCGTACTCGGCTGCCTCGTGGGAGCCGCCGGCGAGCATGGAGGCGGTCTACCAAGATGCGGATCCCGCGTCCCGCGAGGCTCGTCGCTATGCGCGCGCCGCCTCTGAGATGCTCATCGGGTACGCGCGCTCCATCTGCATCACCCCCCGCGAGCTTTGCGCACTCTTCGAGATCCGCAACCCGATCATCGTGGCGCGCATGGAGAGGGCGAGCCCGCCGTTGAACCTCAACGCGACCCCGATCGCCACCCCCAGGCTGTCCGAGACCCCGGATGCCGTGCGCCCTCGTCCTAGCGGGCGCGTCCTCCCGATGTGGATGACGGCGCCATCCCCTCGCCAGGCTCTCATTGATGCTGGCGCGCCAGCCGTCATGGACGGCTTCATGGATGCGGCGGAGTGGGTGCGTCTGTGAGTTGGCCCAACTCCGCCTCTGTACTTGGTGTTTCACCAGGTAAAGTTGGGTCAACATCTCATTGACTCTGGTGCTCGTTGTGCTTCGGGGAGCTGTATGTTGTTGGTTGAGATGGCTCGCTGCGATTGGCCTGGATGTGGTCTGAGGTTGTTTGTGAGAGAATGGGTTGTTTTGTGAAATGGGCCGTTACAGTTTGATGATCTAAAGTGGTAACAACAACAACAGTTAAAAAAACAAACCAGGCAAGCCAACACTGTTTAGTGTAAAACAAACGTGTAACAATTCGGGTACTTTATAAGCCCATGTTGGCTCTGGCGAAATGCGACGAACTGCTCGAAATGCAAAAACCACTTACAAGCCCAAAGGGCAAGGCAACCTTGGGAGACTCTAACGAGCATTAGGTGTAGTCCTTGATGACGTCCATGGGTACGACTGTTTGTTGATGAGGGCCTCACAGTTCAGATTGGATAATATTGGAGTTTCACCTTGAACTGGTTCTCAAGACGCTTTGAGCTAGAGTCGCTTTCTTAAGTGTAGGTTACCACGCGCTCACATAAGTACTATGCTGGAGTAAATTTAGAAACCCTGATCAAACCGTCGAAGTGCGTGAATGGACTTTCCATAATCTGACCGTTCAGGATGATGGGCATGGCGGTGGCAGCCCGCGTATCATGTCGGATCTTCGCATGTGCTGTCCATAATGCCTCGCTGGCTCTTCCCGCCACACTGTGAAGAGAAAACTCCAAGCTGTACTGTAAACTGCTGCGCATTCACACTCACCTCGCAACGCACCTTGTGGTGTTTCAAAAGGGTTACGTTGTTCGCCAGGATCGTATTATCGATTTCTTGCCAGACTACAACTGAAAATTGAGAACTATGCGATCTGAACCCAGTAAGTACGGGCCCTCAAGGTGTTCCGGTCTGTGTGTTGCGACTTCATTATGTCTCTCCGTGTTGCAGATCGGTGCAATGTGTTTCCGCAAGATGAAACAAGGTGTTGGTGCGTCCAAATGCGGTGATTTGAAGCGATACAGAAACGTCAAGTCCGCCGACTTTACGCCCGGTGTATGTGCAATGCAAGCTGTCATCATCACTGTTGGTCGTTCCCCCTATCTCACCTTGAGCACTCTTTCAGAAAGAACCAACTATTTGCTGGCAGAGGAGTGAAGCGGTTACCACTGTAGACTTGATTGGGCGTGTGATGCCAGCACATTATCCCTACTACCAGTGCTAGCGAGATTAGTAAGGGTTTCAAGATAGTGGTAGGTGCTCCTGCTTGTTACATCATGACACTTTAGTAGTTTAGGGATGACAGGATCGAGCGCTGTTTGCCGGCGTCGCTAGCAGTGTCGCCGGTTAGTACTAGGATGATTTTATAGGTCGTTTAGGTACCAAAATGCCTCATCGCTCGCGGGTTCCGGATTCCGCGGCGGGAGCAGCCGTTTCTCTTGCACATGGAGACGCGCTGACGTCGCTTCTCGATCTGACGGCTGCCGTCGTCATTGCCGCCAGAGGCGCTAAGATTCTCTCTGCTAGGTATCTACCTGCGAAATACTAGGTCTCAAGAGTGATATTTTTTCGTGTTTCCGCGTGCTTACTTTGACAATAGATGTTCCGAGGCTCCTTTTCACGAAGTAGTTGCTTGTTGTTTCTTATTACGAGAAGGGTCCAAGATTAAATTGTTTGTTTGATAATATTATTGCGGGGAATAAGCTGAATACGACATTTTGCTGTCACAGAGTGCCTGATATGGTAAATTCAGGAGGAATGATCATGATTTCACGACGAATTTCATGAGTTTATTATTGTTTTTAGACGATCTTGGTTATAGAACATCCTTGGGGTGGTACGTTCAGCGTATCACTAACGTGCATTTTTTTTTGTTTTTTTTCTGCCAATACCTATTCGATTCGATCTATTGCGCCTGTGGTTGGTCATGTTTCAAAACCAGGCGTGTTTCAAAGGCACGCTTAGAGTGGTTACTTTAAGTCAAGTGTATTACCCCTTCTGTCAGTTTTGTCTGTGACTCCCTCCATTATGGGTACTAAGGTACTATCTTTGTGTGGATTGCGGAGATAGCATAGGTGATTAGTAGCTTCGGTAGAGCTTCTGGCTTTCAGTGAGTCGTTGACTTGTAACAATCCATGCTCCTCCGCGCGGTTTTTTTTTTTTTTTTTTTTTTTTTTTTTTTGCAGAACCTTAACAACCTTTAGCTCCTTCTCAGCAGCAACATCATCACCACGAAGCTGCAAAAGCAGATCGAATCAGCAACATCTCTATACTTATGCTGACCATCCACTCCCTCGTCTGTCTCTCAGTTTTTCTCGGCTCGTTCCCCTTCTTGATCCCCCTTAGTTTTCCAAGGTCTCGGCGATTCTGCGAGCTGCTGCATCAGGATGCAAGGTCTCTAATAGGCGCGGATCCCTGGGAGTTCTCCTTCCTTCTCTCCACCCACTCTCTCCTCCCATCCCTCCCTCCCCCCTGTCTAACCCCCCGTGTGTCCATCAGCATGGAAGCGTGCGAGCTACAGCAGCAGGCGCCGGGGTTCCTTCCTAGGGAGCCGAGCAATACTGAAATCCTCCTGTCTTTTCTCCGCCCAATCTCTCCCCCCCTTTCTGATCCTCCGTGTGTCCATCAGCATGGGAGCGTGCGAGCTACTGCAGCAAGCACCGGGATCCCTAGACAACCGATCCATGCTGGAGCACCATTTCAATAATCAACCGCTTCTCTCCTTCACTCGCTTCCACCCTGAAACACCCCCTTATTCTAAATAGCATGGGAGCGTGCGAGCTCCTGCAGCAAGCGCCGGGATCCCTGGAGAACCGATCCATGCTGGAGCTACTCCATTCGAACGACCAACTGCGACCAACCGCTTCTCCCCTTCGCTCGCTTCCCCCTTGAAACACCCCCTTGTCTTTACAGCATGGGAGCGTGCGAGCTGCTGCAGCAGGCGCCGGGGTCCCTGGAAAACCGATCCATGCTGGAGCTACTCCATTTGAATGACCAACCGCTCTTCATGGTAATGCGACCTGCCTCTTGTTTGTTTATTTATTTACCTTTTCTTTCTTTCCATCTTTCGTTCTTTCTGTCTTTCTGTCTCTTCTTTCTTCTTTCTTTCTTTCTTTCTTTCTTTCTTTCTTTCTTTCTTTCTTTCTTTCTTTCTTTCTTTCTTTCTTTCTCTACCTCACGTCTATCCGCTTGCATTTGTGGAAATTTGCATGGATCTCCGTGCAATCTGTGCGCAAACGAGTCCTTCCCTCTTCTCTCCCCGTTCCTCCCGTCTTACTCCCTTACCACCCGAGAGCCTCAAAAGTCATTTCCAAAACTTGCCTCCACTTTTTTTCTCCACCGGCTTTTAACAGGACACGCTGGTTAAGTGCGCACGCTTAGCTTCCCCCAGCAACACGACGCCGTCCTTCCGCCCGTGCACTGCACAGGCAGCCACAGGAACCAGCCATCCCACCTATAGGGGCACGTTTCCTGACGCGCCTCAGTACTCGCAGCAGCAGCAGGCTTATGCGGGACAGCAAGCTATTGGTAATACACCACCCTGGGCTACAATACCCGCTACAACCCCCGCTACCACACCTGCCACAACCCCTGCGACAGGCCCCGCCTTAACCCCGTTCAACCCGCTGCACCAGGAACCTCACGGCTGTTTCTCAGGCGCTTCTACTGCTGGGGCGGCTGTTTCGGGCAGCGGCGGGAGATTTTTACGCGGGCAGCAGCAGGCGCAGCAGCACCAGCTGCACGTGCGACTGAGGGTGGATGAGGAAGCGGAGGGGGAGGATCCGCACACAGAGCAGCAGTTCGTGTGGGTGCGCGCGCGGATGTTGCCTGTGGTGGCCAGGAGACAAGTTGTGGGAGAAGCAAGGAGGGATGCAAGGGGAAGGGAGTCAGAAGGAAGTGATGCGGCGTTTGTGAGAGGGCAGGCAGGAGCAGCGGGTGCTGGAGCAGGAGAAGGAGCAGGGGGGCCAGGAATAGCAGCAGCAGCAGCAACAGCAGCAGCAGCCGCAGCAGCAGGTGGAAGAGGAAGGCTGTCAGTGGTGTGTGTGTTTGAGGAGCTAGAGGTCGTTCCGGCTTCTGTGGCTGCGCCCGAAACGGCGGTGGCTGCAGCAGCAGCTGCGCCAGCATTCGTCCCAAATCCAGCTGCTGCCTCTGCTGCTGCTACTGCTGCCGCCGCTACTTCTGCTGCTGCTCTTGCTGCTGGTGGTACCATTTTCGCCACTGTTGCTCCCTCTGCTGCTGCTGCTGCTGCTGCTGCTGCCTCTGCTGCTGCCGGCGATACAACTGCATCGGAATCCATTTCGCCTGCCCCTCTCCCAGACGCTTCAATGCTAGGTGCTCCCCCTGCTCTTGCGCTATCAGAAGCAGTCGGCACACACACCCCAGCCTTGAGTCCTTTCCCGCGGCCCTCCAGCACTGAGCTCGTGCAACGCACAGCAGAAGTAGCAGCGGGAGAGTACGCTGATAGAGCAGAAGCTGCAGCAGCAGCCGTTGCACCTGCTGCAGCTCCCTCTGCTGCCGCCGCCGCCGCCGCCGCCGCCGCAGCAGCAGCAGCAGCACGAGCAGCAGTGCCAGCAGCAGTGCCATCAGGAGCCAGACTCCTGGCAGCAACCCCTACTGCTGCCGCATTAGCTCCAGCAAACCCCAGCTCATCTCCTCTTGTTCCCCCAGCGACGGCTGTGGCAGCTGCAGCGGCTGTAGCGGCGGCAGCCGCAGCCGCTACAGCCACCCGCAAGCCCCAGCCCGCGCCTGTGACTATAGAGAAGCGGAAAGGCCCCATGTCCCTGCCTACGCTCCCCAGATGGCGCTCTAGCGAGGATCTTATAGAGGAAGGTGATCCGTTAGAAGACAGACAGTTATTGGATCAGCTTCCAACGAGGATAGAGGAGATTAAAGCGCGTTTGGAGAGTGGGGAGGGTCTTGAAGAAGAGGGTAGGGTCGCAACGGGGGAGAGGAGGCGGCAAGGGGATTTGCGGAGGTGGCAGGGAGGGAAGGGTGGTCGAGGGAACCGGGGGCAAAGGTGGGGTGAAGGGGCGAGTGCTGAGCCGAAGAGTGGGCAACTGTTGGGGCAGGAGAAGGGGGGAGGCGGAGAGATGGAGGAGAAGAGGAGCGAGGAGGAGCAGGAGAGGAGAGAGGGGAGCAAAGGGAGCAAGGGAGACGGGGAGAAGGGAGAGGAAGAGCCGGGGCAGCAGCGAAGCACGAGTGGCGGGTGTAACAGCGCTGCTGCTGCGGGAGTGGGTGGTGGGGAGGTCGCAACTGACAGTGGGGCAGCTGAGATTCGCTGTGCGAATGATGGGAGCAGTGAGAGGGAGGTGTTATCTGGGGAAGGTGCGGTGGTAAGCTATGGTGTGCACCTAAAGAGGGCACTGGAAAGGGAAGGGGAAGGGGAAGCGGAAGGGGATGTGACTGTAGCGGATGAGCTAATGGAGGGGGTGTTGGGGGATATGGGAGGAAGGGAAAGAAGCTTAGGGGCTGGTAGCAGCAGCACGGATCTTCCTTCTGTTGCTGTTGCTGGCGCTAGTGCTGCTGCCGCCACTGGTGCTGCTGGTGCTGCTGGTACTTCTGTTATTGCTGGTGCTGCTGCCGAGGCAACTGAAAGGAGGGGCGTATTTGAACGGATACATGCACCACAGCCAGTGGCTGGGACATCCCCAGAGGCAGCAGTAGAGGGAAGAGGTAAGGGGAAGCAGCTGGGAGGACAAAGGATAAGAGTTGTGTTGGGGGATGGTGGTGGTGATGTTGGGGATTATGGTGCGTTGGATGGGTACGGGGGTGACGACAAACTTTCGAAAGAGCAAGGCACCCGCATAGCTGATCCGAATGGCTGTGATGGTGCTGATGCTGTAGAAGGCTTTGTGCCTGGACGACAGACGGTGGAGATCGGGGAGGAGACGGGAGCTGAATCGAGCGCCAAGGCTGGAAGAATGGGAGAAGCAGCAGCTTGTTCTGCTGCTCCTGCTGCCGCTGCCCCTGCTGCCGCTTCCCCTGCTGCTGCTGCTGCTGCTGCTGCTGCTGCGCCTGCTGCTGCTGCTGCTGCTGCGGCTGCTGCTGCTGCTACTTGTTCTGCTTCTGGATCTGCTGCTGCTGCTGCGTGTTTTGGGGCAGGTTTGGAAGTGGACAAGGGGGGTGTAAGGGAGGAGATTTGGGCGGACTTTCTCAAAAAAGGGCTGACTCGGCTGCTGGAAGCTCAGAACGCTCCCAGTGATGATGACGACGATGATGATGATTATGATGTGGAGGAGAAAGAGGAGGGGAGGGGAGGGGAGGGTGGGAAGGAGGAGGAGATAGGGGAGGTAGAAGGGATTGGGGCGAGGAAGGGAGGTGCGGTGGAGAGAGCAGGGGGCGTGGAGGAGGGGACAAGTGCAGGCAAGGGGCGGGAAGGTGATGTGGGAGGAGAGGGGGAGAGGGAAGCTGCTGGAAAGGCGTGTGAGGAGGAGGAGGTGGAGGAGATTGTGAGGGTCAAACCGGGTAGGATGGGGATGGGCACGGGTATGGGAATGGGGATGGGGATGGGGGTGGATGCAGCAGCGGCAGCAGGGAGAGGGGCAGATGGAGCACGAGCGAGTTTTCACCCACCAGGAGTCCAGGCTGCTGCTGCTGCAGCAGCAGCAGCAGGGATGGGGGTGTCAGATTCGGATAGCCTAAGCAAGTACCTTTCTGCGTCGGTAAGTCTTTTTCTCCCTCCCTCTCTCCACGAGCCCACCTTCCCTCCTCTGACAAGTTCCCTCCCTCTGCGCTCTTCAGAAAATTATCTCTTTGCTCTTTTGCTCCTGATTCCGTTTCTTGTTTTGCTCCTCCCCCGCCTTACCCCTCCCCCCTCTCTCCCACCTTCATCCCGCCCTCCCTCTCCTGCTCCCTTCTCCCTCCCTCTCCCCCCTCCCTTTCCACTGTCCCTCGCCGCACCCCTCACACCATTCCTTCATTCCCTCCCCCTTCAAACCGAACCAGGACCCCATATTCGTTTGTAAGAACCTCACTATAGTCGACTGCAACGACAGTGCCGCCCAAATTCACCTCCAACCGTTTTCTTTTCCCCTTTCCACTCCTCCCCCTCTCTTCCCCTTTCCTCTCCCTTCCCTCCCTCCTCCCCCCACCCAGGACCCCATATTCGTTTGTAAGAACCTCACTATAGTCGACTGCAACGACAGCGCCGCCCGCATCCTCCTTCAATCGTTTGCTTCTCCCCCTTTCCTCTCCTCCGTTTCCCTCTCTCCCCCGCCGCCCTCCTACCATGCAGGACCCCATATTCGTTTGTAAGAACCTCACTATAGTCGACTGCAATGCCAGCACCGACCGCATCCTTTTGTGTCGACTCAAAAGCCTTCTCCCTCCCTCCTCGCCCCACACAGGACCCCATATTCGTTTGTAAGAACCTCACTATAGTCGACTGCAACGACAGCGCCGCCCGCATCCTCCGTGTCGCCAACAACGAGCGCAGCACGCGAATCTTCGGCCAATCACCAGTCGTCTTCTCCCCCCCGGTGCAACCCGAGGGAATTCTCTCAGCAGTGGCAAGCGAGCAGCGCTGGCTAGATATAGCTACTAGCAACGGCCGCCCATGTAGATTCCCCTGGGTGCACATGTCGATCGACGGTCAGATGTTTCTCGTGGAAGTGATGGCGATGGTGCTCGTGAACGGTCCAGATACGTTTCATATTACCATGTGGAAGCAGTACCTCAACTCCTCGTCTCTTTCCCGGGAGTTAAGGCTTGCTGCCCGCGCGAAGCGGGCGGCCGAGAGGTCGCGGGTTCAATTCCTGGCGAACATGAGTCATGAGCTGAGGACGCCGATTAACGGCGTGCTGGGGTATGCACAGCTGATGATGCAGACCCAGCTGGATCCCGAGCAGCAGTCGTACCTGCAGAGTATATACGAGTCGGGGGAGGTGCTCCTGGGAACTGTGTCTCAGGTAAGCATTTCTGAGGTTAGTGAGGTGAGTTTGATATGAACAGCTGATGAAGCATTTCTGCGATCCCAATTTTAGGCACTGCTGCGTGGGGTTAGTGAGGTGAGTTTGATATGAACAGCTGATGAAGCATTTCTGCGATCCCAATTTTAGGCACTGCTGCGTGGGGTTAGTGAGGTGAGTTTGATATGAACAGCTGATGAAGCATTTCTGCGATCCCAATTTTAGGCACTGCTGCGTGGGGTTAGTGAGGTGAGTTTGATATGAACAGCTGATGAAGCATTTCTGCGATCCCAATTTTAGGCACTGCTGCGTGGGGTTAGTGAGGTGAGTTTGATATGAACAGCTGATGAAGCGTTTCTGCGATCCCAATTTTAGGCACTGCTGCGTGGGGTTAGTGAGGTGAGTTTGATATGAACAGCTGATGAAGCATTTCTGCGATCCCAATTTTAGGCACTGCTGCGTGGGGTTAGTGAGGTGAGTTCGATATGAACAGCTGATGAAGCAAACTCAGCGGGATCTCGAGCAGCAGTTGTACCTGCAGAGTATATACGTGTCGGCTGAAGTGTTGCTGGGGACTGTTTCTCAATAAAGCGTTTCTTTTAACGCTGCCGATTTGACTAGTGTGTAACCTGGCTTGATTTACCCACCCCTCTCGAGCCTGTCTCCACACCTTGACAACCCCCTTCACCTGTTAACGCTGCTCTTCACCCTTCCATACCACCTCACCAGGTGTTGGAGATGAGTCAGCTGCAGAAGCGAGAGGTGGTGCCAAGGCGCGTGCGGTTTGATCTGCACAGGGCCATTGGGGAGGCTGCAGGCAGCATGCGGCCTCTGGCACACAGGAAGGGACTGCAGGTGGGTGCTGCTCGGTGCTGGTTATTGGTCGGTGCTGGTGGGTGCTGATGGGTGCTGGTGGGGGAGCGTCTAGTGTATGCTGGAGTGGTGATAATTCTCTTGCTTCTTCCCTCTTCTCCCATGCCCCCCCTCTACCCTCCCCATCGCCCCCCTTCCCACCCTCTCTTTCACCAGTTCGGCATAAGCATGGACAGGGCACTGCCCCACACAGTGCTGGGGGATCCATCCATGCTGCGCCAGCTGCCGCTGCACCTGCTCCCCTCCCCTCCCTTCTCTCCCTCCCCTCTCCTATCACCCTTCGGTCTCCCACCCTACTGCCTGCCCCCCCTCACCAGTTCGGGATAAGCATGGACAGGGCAGTGCCGCACGGGGACCCATCCATGCTGTACCAGCTGCTGCTGCACCTGCCCCCCTCCCCTCCCCGTAATGCTGCTGGTGCTGATTATCTCGTTTCCTCCCTCGTGCTCCCCCCCCCATCCAGTTCGGCATAAGCATGGACAGAGCAGTGCCCCATACGGTCCTGGGAGATCCATCCATGCTGCGGCAGCTGCTGCTGCACCTGCTCTCCAACGCCCTCAAGTTCACCCACCAAGGCACCGTGCAGCTCACAGTCCGCGTGCTGCCTGCCCCTGGTGATGGTGCTGCTGCTGCTGCTGCTGCTGCTGCTGCTGCTGCTGCTGCTGCTGCTGCTGCTGCTGCTGCTGCTGCTGCTGCTCATTTCTCTCGCTTCCCCCCTCTTCTCCCATGCATCCCCCCTCCTCCCCTCTTCTCTCCCTCCTTTTCGCAGTTTGGGATAAGCATGGACAGGGCAGTGCCGCACACAGTCCTGGGCGACCCAAGCATGCTGCGGCAGCTGCTGCTGCACCTGCTCTCCAACGCCCTCAAGTTCACCCACCAAGGCACCGTGCAGCTCACCGTGCGCGTCCTGCCCTCTCCTGGTGATGCTGCTGCTGCTGCTGGTAATGCTGGGAGAGTGGGGGCAGGAGGGAAGCAGAGGGGTGTGGGTCGGCGGGTGTCCCAGGTTATGGGCAAGGCAGGGGAAGGGCGGGAAGGGGGGCGAGCGGGGCGAGAGCAGCAAGAGGAGGAGGATCAGCAGGTGCAGCAGCAGGAGGAGCAGGAGCGAGGCAAGTCGGAACCAAAGAAAATGTTCTCGCTGGCAAAAGGAGATGCTGCTTCTCACAGTGAGCTAGAGCGATGTTCTGCTGCCAACACTCAGGGTGTGCAGGGAAGGAGTGAAGGGGGACTTTTGAGTCGACTCAAAAGTCACAGTGAGCTAGAGCGATGTTCTGCTGCCGACACTCAGGGCGTGCGGGGAAGGAGTGAAGGGGGAGCAACAAGTGGGAGGAAGGGAGGGAGTGTTGAGGCAGGTCGAGTCATGCCGTTTCCTTCAGAAGTCGAGTTGCTGCCGCTTGTTGCAGAGAGGAAGAGGAGGGAGAGGGAGAGGGAAGTGAGGGAGAGGGAGGAGCGGGAGGAGAGGGAGAAGAGGGAGAGGGAAGAGAGGGAAGAGAGGGAGAGGGCGGAAAGGGAGGCGAAAGAGAGGGATGAGGAAGAAAACGAGGGTGAAGAGAGAGAGAAGGACGGATCAGGAGCAGAGCAAAAGGGATTGAAGCAGATCACCAGGCTTTCTTTCGAGGTGGTGGATACAGGCGTGGGAGTGCCGCCCAACATGCTGCATCAAATCTTCAAGCCCTTCGTGCAAGTGGACGACTCTGCCGCACGGGAGTACCAGGGCCTTGGGCTCGGATTGGCTATTGCGCAATCGCTTGTAAGGCTTCTGGGCGGCGAGGGGATTCATATTGAGAGCGAGCCGGATAAGGGGTCTTGTTTCGCGTTTACCCTTCCTTTTGAGGTGTGGAAGGGGGAGAGGAAGGGGGGGAGGGAGAAGAGGAGGGGGAGAGAGGGTGAAAGTGTGGGTGGGGATGGGGATGGTGGTGGGAAAGGGGGTGGAGGCGATAGGGAGGAGGTGGAGGGAGAGCGAGTATTAGGAGGAAAATTGTTTGGAGGGGGGTTTGGGGATGACGACCAAGGCCGGGGCAAACGAGCAAAGATAGAGAGGTTAGGTGGGGTGACTACAGGTGGAGAGAGGTGGCAGGTTTTGGAGCGTGGTAGGGGATTTCTTGCTGAAGGGAGCGAGCGAGTGGAGAGCAGTAGGGCAGGAGGAGAAGGAGAGGAGGCAGGGAAGGGAGTTGCAGGGAGTGTGAAGCGAAAGCGAGCAGAGGAGGGCGGTGGTGATGTGATGGGGATGAGGCAGGAGCGAGGAGGGGTGGGTGGGGGGGTGTGGGGCGAGGTGCACGGAGGACGGTGGGGGGAGGAGCAAGGGGGGGAGTGGGGAGACGAGGGAAGTGACGAGATGGAGGAGGAGAGAGAGGAGAGAGGAAAGGGGAGGGGAGAGGGGAGTGGGGAGAGTAGGGGCGTGGAGGCTCGGAGAGAAGAGGCCAGGAGAAGGAAATGGAGGGTGCAGCACGACAGGGGATTCTTCAGTGGGGCTAGGCATGGCAGGCGTGGCTCTAAGGACCGGTTTGCTGCCTCAAGTCCACTGGGCCTGCCTGTTTTTGAAGCACCTCAGATGCTTGGGGAACACTCTGACAGGGGCCTCACCAGTGGGGCTCTGCTTTCCAGTGCGCCGAGAGGGGACGGCCACTTTCCCTTGGGTGCTGACTCAAGTGCCTTGGGTGCCGCACTGATCTGCTCCTCTAGCCCTATCAGTGCTGCTCTGCTCCGGTCCGATCTTCCTAAAGGCGCTACTCTAGGTGCTTCTATCGGTGCTCCTAGGGATGCCTCTGAGGGTGCTTCGCTGGGTCCTTCCCTGGGCGGTTCTCTGCGCGATTTCGCCAGCGAGCCTCTCTCACGCACCCCTGAACTGCAAGCCCAGGGGGATGGGCCTGCACCTGTGCGTTCTCCTCATCTCCATGCTGGTGACCCTGAGGGGGACCGTGCACCAGAGGGGTGTGAGGCTGCTGTTGACGGGCTGCCCATGTGTCGGCCAGGCTCGGGTTTAAGCTCGGGCTTAGGTTTGGGTTTGGGCGAGGGAAGCTTGGGGTTGGGGTCGGGGTTGGGGTCGGGTTCAGGCTCGAGTTTAGGCCGGTCAGGATTAGGCCCAGGGTTGGCATCAGGCTGGGGGTCAGGCCTGGGGTCTGGCTTGGGTTCAGGGTCAGGGTCAGGCTTGGGATCAGGCTTGGGGTCAGGCTTGGGATCAGGCTTGGGGTCAGGCTTGGAGTCAGGCACGCTTGTGGAGCCTTCACAGCCTGCCACTGTGGCTGTAGCAGCAGGAGCAACAGCTGTAGCAATACCCACAAGTGAAACGGAAACCTCTAATGCTCCTCTAACAAGGGGTGCAGGCCTGGGTGGCATGGTGGTAGGCGCCAAGGCAGTGAATCAGAGCGCACTACATCCTGTAACAGCAGCAGCAGCAGCAACAACAGCAACAGTATCACCAGCCGCAGCAGCTGTAGCACCTGTAGCAGCTGTAGCACCTGTAGCAGCTGTAGCACCTGTAGCAGCTGTAGCACCTGTAGCAGCTGTAGCACCTGTAGCAGCTGTAGCATCTGTAGCAGCTGTAGCACCTGTAGCAGCTGTAGCATCTGTAGCAGCTGTAGCACCTGTAGCAGCTGTAGCAGGCGGAAGTAAGGCCGGGCCAGCAGGCACGGCAGGTGCAGGCAAGACAGGCACGGCAGGTGCAGGCACGGCAGGTGCAGGCAAGACAGGCACGGGGCTGAAGTGCCTGGTGGTGGATGACAATGCAGTGAACCGCAGCGTGCTGCAGCGGCTGCTGCGGTCGCTGGGAGCAGAGCAGCTCGTGCTGGCCCGGAATGGTGCAGAGGCTGTCGCGGTGTGCGAGAAGGATGGAGAGGGGTTGGATGTGGTGTTTATGGACCTTCATATGCCGGTGATGGATGGGTTTGAGGCGTCGGCGCGGATTCTCGGGCTTTGGAGGAGTCGGTATGGGTCTGATGCGGTGCCGAGGACTAGTAGCATGTCGCAGCAACAGCAGCAGCAGCAAGTCCAAACAGTACAGCCCTTGCAGCAGCAGCAGCAGCTGCAGCAGTTGCAACAAGAATGTGCATTCCGGTACAGACCACTGCTTGTCGCAATTACTGCAAGTGCGTTGGAGGAGGAAGAGGAGAAGTGTAGAAAGGTGGGCATGGATTTCTTTCTCACTAAACCAGTGAGATTAGCTTCTCTAAGAAGTCTCCTCTACCAGGTGAAAGCGGGCAAGTAACTACCGTAGGATCATTTCTACTATTTTTCCTACACCTATAATCCGCTATTGATGTGATGGGTTGTTTCTAGGCCGTAGCCACTTTGAGTTGAGTGGCACCGTTGTCCATAGAAATCTGTGATTTGTTTCTTTGGGGGGTAGGTGCTGGCTATTTCTCATTCATATGCATGCAGTACTACCGTATGCCTACTACATGAAGGCTAACAATCCCACAGTGCAAGCGGGGAAACATTAATCCTCAGAAAGAATTCACTCAGTGAGGCTGAGAACAGCTCAGAACAGCTCAGAATAGTCCTGAGAACAGCTCAGTTCACGCGTGTCAATAAATGTACAGCCGGATATATACCAAGATTGTCAATAAATCACTAGAGGAGCTTAAATCGAAGCAAAGTCATCATTGTCCTTCGGAGTTTCGCGAAGGCTCACGCTCAAGCGCGCCACGCGTCAGAGGGAGTCGCAGGCCATCGTCCATTGGCGGAAATTAGGTTTTGCGACTGCCCTTGAGGTCGCCGAGGCTCTACCTGATGGACCGTTCATCCGGCCCTGGCGTCCCACCTGATTGGATCTGGTCAACCCTTTCTTGTCCAATCCCCTCATCAAGCTCCCATTTCTATTGCTGCTTGAAATGCTCGCTGGAAGAAATCAGCTTGTTCTGTGAAATTGCTATTGCTGGATTCTTCCTTCAACACAGGTCCTCAGAAGCCCTAACTTGGTCAGTGCTCTAAACCGGAGTCGTGATGTCGTTCATATGTTTCCAGCGCGTAAACCATTCATCATGGGATTCAGATCTGCTACTTTTGTACTTTTTTTCGGCTATCTGGTAGCTCTTTTGACGTTCTGTAACTTTTGTACGTGCAGTTACCATGGAGGCCTTCGCCACGCCATACCCCATTTTCTTTCACGATGGAGAGAAGGATGTGAACAAGGGTGTTGTTGGAATACATTCCTGTTTGACTTTCAAGCGGTTCCAGTCCATGGCTGGACAAAAGGCCGGTCTTCCTCCAGCTACTCTATCAACGGTTCTAGTCTGTAGAAAGTCTTCTGGCAACACGGAGAAGAAGCAGAAGCTTCCTATCAACGAGCATACGAACTTCAGCATTATCCTAAACCAGCATAATCCAAGTCGTGAGAGGGATTGCCATTTTCTGATCTCCTTGAAGAAGTCGAAGAAGGAAAGAAGAGCAGCGAAGAAAAAGGTTTCAGAACCGGAATATGTTGAAGCGGAGGGGTCTGTTGCAGCTTCTAGCACGCCATCTTCACCCAAGAGCGTGGATGATGTCTCTCTGTTCAAGGATAAGCCGGACTCTAGCTCGTCTGACGACGAGGCAAGTGACTCTCATTCTGGGGAGCATCAGAAGCAGATACCTTCTTTTGACAAGAGTTCCTCAAAGAATGAGACGAAACACGCAGCTGTGGAACCATCTCAACCTCCAGTTTCGGTGTGGAAGACTGGATCTGCGTTGAAGATTTTGAAGGGTCAAGAGGCATCTAAGCCTGCAGCAGTGCAAGAAGAAGCCGTTAATAGTGGAGGCGTTGCTGCTGGCGACATGGGTGCGAGAGGTGTTTCTGTTCAAGGGAAACCGCATCCATATGTTACAGCACCCAATTCTCATGCAGGTTCTCCAGGCTTACCTGTTACGATTCTCAACAACCCACTTGACAGCAACGTGCGGTCTTCTTCAGATGGTCAACGAGCGATGGCTGGTCTAGCGGATTCAAGGGCTGGACATTCTGTTTCTAGAGTGGTCCCAACAGCTGACAAGTTCACAGAAAGTATTTTGGCCTCTGCAGCAGCTGCAGCCTCTGCTGTGGTCCAAGCACACTCATTTCAGCCGCCACATGCGATTCCTGCTGGTGGCTTTTCACTGTTTGGACCTGATTTAAGCAGCGTTGCCTTGGGCAACATGTTCCACAACACCATGACAATGGACTTGAGATTCGGGATGCGAAAGCTGTGCCACTTCTGTTCGTTCTGCCAGGAGAGGCGCATTGTGTCGGTGCCTTTTCACTGGTGCGTGGATGACCAAGTGGTGACTGGGTTCAAAGGCCCTTCACCAGCAGGGCCTATTGGGAGACGGCACAAGCACAGGGTGGGAGTATTGGCATAGTCAGTTCCAGCTGTTGGTTGGTTTGGTACATGCTGTATATTTGAACACTGTCAGTGAGAGGGTCCTTTCATTATTTGAGCACTAAAATGCAAGCTTGGTAGGAAGCAGAACTGCCATCCGCTTGTCAACTATGTAAATGCCTCATGGTGACATAAAGAGGACGATGAAGGGGTGTTGGCCAAATTTAGCACGTCTATGAGGTGCTACATGTGTGGTGTACATACCACGAAAATTGTCAGCATCTGCCGTTACGTAAAGGGAAAATATGCCACAAGTAACAATCATGTGACCCCGTAACGTCAATGGTAAAAAAAAATGCGTACGGTAACTGTATCGGGTATCGTGACGGGCTTGGTAAGTGGGGTCACGGAATCAGTCACTAGCAACAGCTAAAGAATCACGCGAATGGTAACACATGAAACTCCCGCCTGAAATTCCTGAAACCAGGCCGATTTCCCGCTCGCGCCAAACCGTGCGGAGAGAGGTTTGATGCACGCCTGTACCGTCGAGCCTCCAGCCCACCGTAACCAAACCACGACCCTACATGCTGTACACCCCCCTGCCCGCTACGGTTCCAACCAAGCACAGAAGCTTGACCCCAGCGGAACTCACTCACTTCCCGCCATCAACTATTACTCACGCGATTACTAGTAGCTATAGCTTTCGCCAGCTGCCTTCCCCGTCACTCATCCTGGGCATTCGTTAGCAGCACCTGACGTCTATCAACGGTGCGTGCCTTAGCCCAAAAGCCTTTTCCCATCCGTTCACGTTTAGTCCCTTGTTACTCGATAAATACTAATAATATACATTACAAAAAAAAAAACACAAAAAAAACTCGATCAGACCGCTGTCGCGATGCGCCCAGCGGCTGGCGCGCCGCTCCGCGCATCGCGCCTATCGGGCCCGGTCGTCGCGCGATGCAGTGCGGCCACCTCGCCGCTCGACGCATCGAGACGATCAAAAGCAGCCGCCGCCGCGATGCGCATTGCGGCCAGCGTTTGGCCGCTCCGCGCATCGCGCCGACCGGGCCGCCGCCGTCGCGATGCGCAATGCGGCCAGCTTTTGGCCGCTCCGCGCATCGCGCCGACCAGGCCGCCGCCGTCGCGATGTGCAATGCGGCCACACTGCTGGGCGCATCATGACGATCCGCCAAGCCAAAAGCCCGCCGCTCAGTGCGTCGCGCCTCTCTGTCCACCGCCGAGACCAGTGTGCCCATGCACTCTCGTCTAGCCTCCCCTCTCGTGCTCCCTTGTCTCCTACCCATCTTTCTCTCGTGCTCCCTCGCATGCCGTGTTATCCCCGGCCAAAGCCTCGATTATAGCAATTCCCTCTCTCGTGCCAGGCCACTCATTCCCTCTCCATCCCTCTCGCACACCCCCTCTCATACACACTCATCCCCTCTCCATCCCTCTCGCACACCCCCTCTCATACACACTCATCCCCTCTCCATCCCTCTCGCACACCCCCTCTCATACACACTCATCCCCTCTCCATCCCTCTCGCACACCCCCTCTCATACACACTCATCCCCTCTCCATCCCTCTCGCACACCCCCTCTCATACACACTCATCCCCTCTCCATCCCTCTCGCACACCCCCTCTCATACACACTCATCCCCTCTCCATCCCTCTCGCACACCCCCTCTCATACACACTCATCCCCTCTCCATCCCTCTCGCACACCCCCTCTCATACACACTCATCCCCTCTCCATCCCTCTCGCACACCCCCTCTCATACACACTCATCCCCTCTCCATCCCTCTCGCACACCCCCTCTCATACACACTCATCCCCTCTCCATCCCTCTCGCACACCCCCTCTCATACACACTCATCCCCTCTCCATCCCTCTCGCACACCCCCTCTCATACACACTCATCCCCTCTCCATCCCTCTCGCACACCCCCTCTCATACACACTCATCCCCTCTCCATCCCTCTCGCACACCCCCTCTCATACACACTCATCCCCTCTCCATCCCTCTCGCACACCCCCTCTCATACACACTCATCCCCTCTCCATCCCTCTCGCACACCCCCTCTCATACACACTCATCCCCTCTCCATCCCTCTCGCACACCCCCTCTCATACACACTCATCCCCTCTCCATCCCTCTCGCACACCCCCTCTCATACACACTCATCCCCTCTCCATCCCTCTCGCACACCCCCTCTCATACACACTCATCCCCTCTCCATCCCTCTCGCACACCCCCTCTCATACACACTCATCCCCTTCCATCCCTCTCGCACACCCCCTCTCATACACACTCATCCCCTCTCCATCCCTCTCGCACACCCCCTCTCATACACACTCATCCCCTCTCCATCCCTCTCGCACACCCCCTCTCATACACACTCATCCCCTCTCCATCCCTCTCGCACACCCCCTCTCATACACTCTCATCCCCTCTCCATCCCTCTCGCACACCCCCTCTCATACACACTCATCCCCTCTCCATCCCTCTCGCACACCCCCTCTCATACACACTCATCCCCTCTCCATCCCTCTCGCACACCCCCTCTCATACACACTCATCCCCTCTCCATCCCTCTCGCACACCCCCTCTCATACACACTCATCCCCTCTCCATCCCTCTCGCACACCCCCTCTCATACACTCTCATCCCCTCTCCATCCCTCTCGCACACCCCCTCTCATACACACTCATCCCCTCTCCATCCCTCTCGCACACCCCCTCTCATACACACTCATCCCCTTTCCATCCCTCTCGCACATCCCCTCTCATACACACTCATCCCCTCTCCATCCCTCTCGCACACCCCCTCTCATACACTCTCATCCCCTCTCCATCCCTCTCGCACACCCCCTCTCATACACACTCATCCCCTCTCCATCCCTCTCGCACACCCCCTCTCATACACACTCATCCCCTCTCCATCCCTCTCGCACACCCCCTCTCATACACACTCATTCCCTCTCTTTCATCCCCTCTCATCCCCTCTCATCCCCTCTCATCCCCTCTCATCCCCTCACATACACTCTTATACACTCTCATACACTCGCATTCACTCTCATACGCTCTCATCCCCTCTCATCCCCTCTCATCCCATGTCACTCCCTCTAATCCACTCTCATACCCTCTCGTACCCACTCATATACACTCATATACACTCTCACCCCCTCTTATAGACTCCCATACACACTCATACACTCTCATGCACTCTCATTCACACTCATCCCCTCGAATCCCCTCTCATCCCCTCTCATCCCCTCTCATCCCCTCTCATCCCCTCTCATCCCCTCTCATATACTCTCACACACTCTCATACACTCTCTTACACACTCTCATCCCTCTTCATCCACTCTCATACACTCTCATCTCCTCTCATACACACTCATACCTCCTAATCCGCTCTCATCCACTCTCATACACTTCCATACACTCTCATTCACACTTATCCCCTCTTATCCCCTCACATCCCCTCTTATGTCCTCTCATCACTCTCATTCCTTCTCAATCCCTCTCATTCCTATTCATTCCCTCTCATTCCTTTTCATTCTCTCTCATTCCCTCACATCCGCTCTCATTCCCTCTCATCATCTCTCATTCCCTCTCATTCCCTCTCATTCACTTTCATCCTCTTTCAGCCCCACTCTTTCCCTCTCATCCACTCTCATACACTCTCAACGCCTCTCATCCAATCTCACACACTATTATTCCCTCTCATCCCCTCTCATCCCCTCTCATACCCTCTTATCCACTCTCATTCACTCTCATTCACTCTCATACCCTCCCATCCACTATCATATACACTCTCGTCCACTCTCATCCCCTCTCATTCACTTTGATCGCCTTTCATCCCCTCTCATTCCCCCTCATAACCTATCATATACACTCTCATCCCTCCACATACTCTCTTACTCATTCCGTCTCATCCCCTCTCATCCCCTCTTATACACTATCATACACTCTCATACCCTTCCATCCACTATCATATACACTCTCATCCCCTCTCATACTCTCCCATACCCACTCATCCAGTCTCATCCCTCCTCATACACTCTCATACACTCTCATCCCCTCTCATCCCCTCTCATCCCCTCGTATGCACTCTCATACTCTCTCATTCACTCTCATACCCTCCCATCCACTATAATATATTCTCTCATCCCCTCTCATACTCTCCCATACACATTCATCCAGTCTCATCCCTCCTCATAAACTCTCAAACACTCTCATCCCCTCTCTTACACTCACACCCTATCATCCCCTCTCATCCCCTCTTATACACTCTCATTCACTCTCATACCCTCCCATCCACTATCATGCACACTCTCATTCACTCTCGTTCCCTTTCATCCCCTCTCATCCCCTCTCATCCCCTCTCATCCCCTCTCATCCCCTCTCATCCCCTCTCAACCCCTCTCATTCACTCTCATACACTCTCTTACACACTCCCATCCCTCCTCAGCCACTCTCATACACTCTTATACACTTTTATTCACTCTCATCCCCACTCATCCACTATCGTATACCCTCTCATCCCCTCATCCCCTTTCATCCCCTCTCATACACTCTGAAGCACTCTCATCCCTTCTCAACCCGTCTCATCCATTCTCATCCCCTCTCAACCCCTCTCATTCACTCTCATACACTCTCATCCCCTCGCATACACTCTCATAGACTCTCAACCACTCTCATTCACTCTCCTACACTCTCGTACACTCTCATCCCCTCTCATCCACCCTCATACACTCGATGAGACTCTCATACCCTCTCATACCCTCTCATACCCTCCCATACAGTATCATATCCACTCTCACTCCCTCTTACACACTCTCATACAGTCTCATCCCCCCTCATCCTATCTCACACACTCTCATTCCCTCTCATTTCCTCTCACACCCTCTCATCACTTCTCGTTCCCTCTCATCCCCTCTCATCCCCTCTCATCCCCTTTCATATCCACTCTCACTCCCTCTCACACACTCTCATACAGTCTCATCCCCTCTCATCCTATCTCACACACTCTCATCCCTTCTCATTTCCTCTCATACCCTCTCATCCACTCTCATACACTCACTTACACACTCTCATCCCTCTCATTCCCTCTCATACACTCTCAGCCCCTCTCATCCTCTCTCATACACTCTTATACACTTTTATTCACTGTCATCCCCTCCCATCCACTATCGTATACACTCGCATCCCCTCTCATACACACTCATACCACCTAATCCCCTCTCATCCCCTCTTATTTGCTCTCATACACTCACTTACACACTCTCATCCCTCTCAGTCCCTCTCATACACTCTCAGCCCCTCTCATCCTCTCATACACTCTTATACACTTTTATTCACTGCCATCCACTCTCATCCCTTCGCAACCCCTCTCATCCACTCTCATCCCCTCTCAACCCCTCTCATTCACTCTCATACACTCTCATCCCCTCGCATACACTCTCATAGACTCTCAACCACTCTCATTCACTCTCCTTTCACTCTCATTCACTCTCATCCCCTCACAACCACCCTCATACACTCAATGACACTCTCATACCCTCTCATACCCTCCCATACACTATCATGTCCACTCTCACTCCCTCTCACACACTCTCATATAGTCTTATCCCCTCTCATCCTATCTCACACACTCTCATTCCCTCTCATTTCCTCTCATACCCTCTCATCCCTTCTCGTTCCCTCTCATCCCCTCTCATCCCCTCCCATCTCCTCTCATACACTCTCATACACTTACTTACACACTCTCATCCCTCTCATTCCCTCACATACACTCTCAGCCCCTCTCATCCTCTCTCATACACTCGTATACACTTTTATTCATGGTCACCCCCTCCCATTCACTATCGTATACACTCTCATCCCCTCTCATACTCACTCATACCCCCTAATCCCCTCTCATCCACCCTCATACACTTCCATACACTCTCATACACACACATTCCCTCTCATTCCCTCTTCTCCCTCATATGCTCTCATCCACTCTTATTTACACTCATCCACTCTCACACACTCTCATACACTCTCATCCCCTCTCATGCACTCTCATACACTCTTGTACACTCTCATCCTCTCTCATACGCTCTCATACACTGTTCCCCATCTCCTCCCATCATCAACCCGTCCCCTTTGCAGCCCTCTATTTCACACAAAAATTTAGTTAGATGTGACATTCTCTCTTGTCTCCTCATCATGCCCCTAACTCTTGTTTGGCGCTTAAATTTCCCCCTTACAATTTCTCTCACGCACAATACTACACTTTATACACCCTGCATGGTCTTATTGTCCAACAGAGCTTGTGGCGGTCGTGAGGAACAACATGTTTTGCCTCATACGTTCAAGGTGGGAGGTTGATGTAGAATACCGATGTTAACCATCAAACAAGCTGAAGTGCATTGTTAATATCAACCATCATTCATTTCCAATCAAGAATTTTTCACGTTAACTTGCAAACTTCCATGTGGTACCCCCCCAACTGTTATCTTTTGGTCTTTTAGCAATTTTGATGTGCAGGAAGATGATGCTGTCAACATTTACAAGGGGAAGCTCTACCCAACTGCTGTAGCAGCAAGGGAGGAGGTGCGGTTGTACTGTAGGCAGCAGACGTTTGCTCCCTATTTCCGCTATAATCGGTCGAATCTCATTGAGGTGTGGTGCAAGTCCATGGAGGGCAAGGTATGGCCTCGTGGGGAGGTGCACAGCGGAGAAGGGATGTGTCCATTTCGTGTTGTCATACGGGGACCGCGCTATAGTAACCTGCGGGTCACGGTGGCTAGTTTGGATCACGCCGATATGTGTGTCACCGAGGCTGCAAGGATTCGGAGGGATGAGGTCAAAGAGGTTGCGCGTGAGATGCTAAAGCATGGCGACGTGAGACCTCATGCGTTGATCAGTCGTGTTAGGGCGGTTTTACGTGTGGAGTGCTCGTACACGGTTGCGCGCGAGGTGCTTTTTGAGCTAAGGAATGCGGATCCGTTTTGTGGAGACGATGGGTTTCAATACATGGAGGACCTGTTAGATAAGTTCAAGGATGATAATCCTTCATCTGTCGTGTCCATGGTCAGACGGGGAAATAACTTCTACCGTGCGGGAATTATTTTTCCAGGGGCGAGAGATGCGGTCATGAACTGCCTGCCGATCATTTTCGCGGATGGATGTCATAATAAGACCGCATGGGGGGGATACACTTTGAACATATGCATGTTGGATAGCCAACACAAACTTGTTATGTTGGGATGCGCATGGGTGGAGGGTGAAAACAAGCATGCATGTGCCTTCTTATTCAATCTCCTGTTGGAAGCCGTTCCGGAGGTGAACTCCTCTAACTATGTTATGATGCATGATAGGGGAGGGGCATGGATATCCGCCACATCCACTTGTCTCCCCCTCATACGGGAGTCCTTTTGCATCACCCATTTGGTTCGAAACTTCAAAAATAAGTTCAGGACAGATCTGGACGGACGAATTCTTGCAGCAGCAGCAGCCTTGACACCGCATGTGTATCTCAAGACAATGGAAAAGATTGAGATGGAATGTCCCGGTGGATCCTCCTACCTTGTCGACAATGGATTGGGTGTTAAGTGGGCGACAACTTATTTTGGAGCACCGCGTTACGGATGCTTGTCTTCTAACCCCGTTGAGTCTCATCATGCGTCGCTTTCGGGATTGCGGGATAAGAATCCGCCGCAGGTGCTGCTGGGCTTGGCGGAAAAGCTATCGACGAAGATCGAAAAGAGGCGCCGACTCTATTCCGAGATGACAGCCGCTGACTTCCCTCCTAGGACAAAGCCAATAGTCATTGGGAATCGCGATGAGAGCAGAAGATACAGGGTGGCTGAATCGGGAGAGAACGAGTACATAGTACGCGAAGGGGAGGAGAGGCGAGTCGTGACCATAAACCCCGAGGATCCTGCAGCCACCCACTGCTCATGTGGCTACACCAAGTAAGTGGTGGTTAGGTTCTGTTTCTACCATTGCTAGCATATGTTTCACTGGTATATATACTTGATCCAACTCAACCATGAATATTGCGCTAATTAGGTTTTTAAATATCATGCAAGATCAATCCTCATCATGCACCCACTCTAAATTTCAGCCCCTATTTATCCCAAAAATAGAGGAATTTGGGGACAATAAAGACTGCGTAACTTCCTGCTCATTTATCCCAACATTAGGGATATTCGGAGCGGCCAAAGGGCCATGCAATCCTTGTTCCTGCTGCAATTATTTTGTTTCCTACAACCTTATGCCAATTTATCCCAGCCTTGTACCCTCTCTCTCTTTTGTGCCCATGTGTCCAAGCAATAGGGGCATTCCCCGTGCGATATGGGGAACATGGCGATAGGCGATATCCTGTTTAAACATAAATTTCTAGTTGCCTACGACTCAAAGAACCTTCCCTATCCCTCTGACCATCTACCTTGCCCATGCAGGGTAATTAGGTCGACAAAGTGTCGTGTGTACATTTGCTTGCCGTAATCGTATTTGCTGAATGTGGGCTTCTTTATGCCATGTGTTCAAGTGTGTTAAGAAATGTTGCTGGTTTTAGCAATTCAATGAAGAGTTCATACTCCCTCTTCTATTACCCCTTACGCAGGTCTTTACTTCCCCATACCCTTGGGTGGGCACAATTTCTCATATTTACTGGAAGTATGATAGTTTTAATCATGCGTTAATTCCTTTCTACCTCTTCTCACATTTATCCCGAAAACAGGGAATACGGGCTGCCATGCGTGCACATCTTCGCCGTGTTCAGAAACGATGGTCACAAGGCGCACGCAGTGATCCATAAATATCACACAACGGATGCACTGCAACAAGTGTACAGAACGCCGATTAAGCTCCTGGACCCAACCTCTGTGGTCCCTGACGGCGTTACCCTCCCCCCGGTCTACAAGAAGAAGGCAGGTCGGCCACCAAAGCGAAGAATGCGGTCCACAGGAGAAATGGACCCAATCAAGTTGCGCAAGTGTGGAAAGTGCGGTGAGTACGGTCATAATGCCCGAACCTGCGAGGTCCGTGCAGCCAACAGAGTGTTGTGGGAGGCTTTGCAAACCCCCGCAGGGCAATTGTCAGTGCAAACAATGACGGACGCAGATGGTGCAGTCCATGTCGCCCTGTGCAACGCTTGCAACCGAACTCACCGCAGAGGGATTCGGTGTCAAGTCATGCGTAGACAAGGACAGCCGGGTGATGTGGAGGAGGAGTCGTGCAGCGATGATGATGGGAGTTTCGGTTTGGTGGAAGGGATTGGCGAAGAGGATGAGGAGGGACGTGATGATCGCGATACCGTGACATATGGTGGGGCGCTGATCGAGGTGTTTGGTAGGGATCCCGGAATTGCCGGTGATGTTGGTCTTGATGAACGCACAACCACGAACTCAGACTTGCCCACACAAACAGAAAATTCCGGGGCAACACAGATAGACATCACACAAGAGAGTCAGGCGGGACGAGTGTCTGACAATTCGGTGGCCGAGCGGGTGGAAGGGCTGAGGACTGCGGAGGACGTGGTTGCAGTGCGTATAAGGCGGATGCAGGGATTACTCCTGCAGCGTGATGTGGCAAGACAGGCAAGAGAGGAACGTGCAACAACTGAAGGTAGGGGCAGAGGCAGGGGACGCCATGCAAGCACAGGGCAACGGGGAAGAGGGAGAGGGAGAGGGAGAGGCAGAGGCAGATATGGATCTCGGTCTTCCACGGAACAGCAGGGTGGAGCTGAACGGATGGAACAAAATGGTGGGAGCAGATTGGAAGGGATGGGAGGTCAGCAAGGGTTGAGAGGGCAGCAGGAAAGGGGAAGACAGCCGGGGTTGGGAGGGCAGCAGGGGATGGGAGGGCTGCAGGGGATGGCAAGGCAGCATGGGATGACACTGCAGCAAGGGGGGGAAGGACAGGCGGGTGTGGGGGGGCAGCATGGGATGGGAGGGCAGCAGGGAAGGGGAAGACAGCCGGGGTTGGGAGGGCAACGGGGCAGCGGAGGACAGGCGGGGTTGGGAGGGCAGCAGGGGATGGGAGGGCTGCAGGGGATGACAGGGCAACCGGGGAGCGGAGGACAGTCGGTAATGCGAGGGCAGCAGGGGATGGGAGGGCTGCAGGGGATGGGAGGGCAGCATGGGATGGCCAGGCAGCACGGGATGACAGGGCAGCAGGGGAGCGGAGGACAGGCGGGGTTGGGAGGGCAGCAGGGACTGGGAGGGCAGCAGGGGATGGCCAGGCAGCACGGGATGACAGGGCAGCAGGGGAGCAGAGGACAGGCGGGGTTGGGAGGGCAGCAGGGACTGGGAGGGCAGCAGGGGATGGCCAGGCAGCACGGGATGAAAGGGCAGCAGGGGAGCGGAGGACAGGCGGGGTTGGGAGGGCAGCAGGGACTGGGAGGGCAGCATGGGATGGCCAGGCAGCACGGGATGACAGGGCAGCAGGGGAGCGGAGGACAGGCGGGGTTGGGAGGGCAGAAGGGACTGGGAGGGCAGCAGGGGATGGCCAGGCAGCACGGGATGACAGGGCAGCAGGGGAGCGGAGGACAGGCGGGGTTGGGAGGGCAGCAGGGACTGGGAGGGCAGCAGGGGATGGCCAGGCAGCACGGGATGACAGGGCAGCAGGGGAGCGGAGGACAGGCGGGGTTGGGAGGGCAGCAGGGACTGGGAGGGCTGCAGGATACGAGAGGCCAACTTGGGTCCCAGGAAGCGTTACAAGGGCATAATGGGTACGTTCAAGCCCTTAACCAACGATGGGGACGCGTGGGAATGCCAATGCACGGGAATGTTGCAGGCCTGGCGCATTGTTGGAGCCATGTGGGCATGCCATTGCAACAGGAGGTTGAGGGGTCGGTGCCTGGTATGCACACCAGGACGCCACGCCAACAGGGGGACGAGAACAGTAACAGCTCTGTGCAGTAGAACTTGTGGGCTGTGCTGAATCTTTTACTCATGGTTACTTGATTGACTTCAAGAGCGCACTGCAACTGGTTTGATCGAATGTCCTTTTTTTTTTACCAACCGTGGCTCTGCACTGTCTCAAAAACACTCCCATGCAAGCGTATGGTACCAATATTCAACAGTTGTGTTAATCAGTATCATTTGCTCAACCTCTAGTTACTTATTTCTATTGATAGTGTTGTTGAGTGTGTCCATTTTTTACAGGACGTGAGGCATGAAGGTGAGCAAGGGAGTTGGTGAATGAAGTACCTACCCTTAATCACGGCTCTGGCTGACAAGGCGTGGCATGCACATACCTGTTGTGGCATATTGGAATGTTTTTAACAATACCACACAGTCTTACGGGCATGCCACTCCATCAGTAGGTTGCATATACTACACTTGGGACTATGAGTATGCATGGTTACCGTAGTACGGCAAGTTGACCTCAAGGGTCATGAGCGTTTTTCGTCAAGTTTGATCGTAGTCTGGCAGACCTACCCTCGTCCACTTTGTCTCGAATCATGCTTGGGCAAGCATACCGTACCTTCAGACCGCGGTAGTTTCATGTGTGTTAAACTGCTCAAAATTGTCTTGCCACCCGTACCATTACCTTAAGTGTTGTTCTGTTTCCATACAAGGACACCTTGTTATGGGGGTAGGAAGTGTGTGGCACAGTTGCACTTGCTAGCTTTATGACTTTCCTTCATCCCTGCAGGGGTTGACATGGTACATACGGTAATTGTGTTAATTAATATATGTATGTCCCATGGTCTTGTATGGAGCAGTTTTGCACATGTGCGATTGCTGAAAGCAAAGATGGTGTTTGATACGCATGTTTCAAATCCTGCACGAAAGTATGCAACGATGAAAGTAGTGAAAATGCATACAACGCCAGAAATATATCATGTGTTTTTTTAAATGATCAGATCAGCTAGGTGCCCCACGGAGTAGACACACCTCTAACCGAAACCATGCTCGCAGAACTTTCCAACACTGAACCGTCCAAATTGACAAAAAAAAAAATTCCGCACCACGCTTATCGTCCCATATACCTCATCAACAACACCGTCTAACAAGCCACAGCCGCCCACACCAATTTACCCACCCTCTAACCGTCACTTCAGATAACATTTATAGGTGTATGCACGGAGTCAGCTCCTGCCTTCTCATCTCCTTCTGCCATCCGTTCTCCAGCACCCTCGATATGTGTTTTGCAGCCTTGACCTTCGCAGTCCTCATCCCGCACCTCTCCTCGCCCACCGATATACCCAGCACTCTTGGTGGATCCGTCATCGTCATGGTAATTTACCGTCTCCCTTGTTATCACTCCGACTGCTTTCCTCCTAGCTCTCCTAGCACCAGACGTACATCGGACGTCATGCCTCAAACTAGCTAGCGAGACCTTCATGGTACCGCTATTGGACCCTTGTATGACAATGCGAAAGGGACATAGCGCATCTTTGCTGCCTACCTCTCCACCTTGCCAACTCAAATTCTGCATCGAGTCGCACCGTACATCGATAAGGTTTTTGCGACTATAATAGTAGAACTCCCGAATAAGATTTTGCCGACAATACAACCGAACATCCTCCCTTGCGTCTGCGGCAGATGGATAATCCTTCCCCTTGAATATGTTGCAAACGTGTTAGTCCTGCGGATTGACATAACTAGTACACCAAACAAAATAGAGTTCAAGCAACAACACATTGCAAATTGTTTGTGAGATGTGGCATAACAATGGAGCGTATGTAGCCTCGCAATGTAAACCACGAGATAGGATCTGCAAATGACAACCCTAAATCTATAGGCCAGACCTCACCTGGCTTGCAGTGGGTGAGACATGACGCTGATTACAAGTGCCACGAGCTTTGATGGATAATGAGCACGGGAGGATAACAGGGAATGCGAGGGGTTGATAGGAATGGGGAATCAAGACCAGAGAGATGATGAGTGGATGAGAGTGAATGGGCGTGGATCAAAAGGAATGAGAGTGTATGAGGGTGCACGAGAGGGACTGAGAGTGTGTGAGAGGGTATGAGGGGATGAGGTTGAATGAGAATGTATGAGGATGAGCGTGGATGAGAGTGGTTGAGAGGGGACGAGAGTGTGTGAGAAGGGATGAGAGTGTATCAGAGTGTCTTGGAGTGTGTGAGAGGAAATAAGAGGGGATGAGAGGGGATGAAAGTGAATGAGAGTGTATGAGAGTGTATAAGAGGGGATGAGAGAGGATGATAGGGGATGTGTGTGTATGAGAGTGTAAGAGAGGGGATGAGAGTGTTTGAGAGTTTATGAGGAGGGATGAGACTGGATGAATGTGTATGGGAGAGTATGAGAGGGGATGAGAGAATATATGATAGTGGATGGGAGGGTATGAGAGTGAATGAGAGAGTATGAGAGTGCATACGAGGGGATGAGAGGGGATGAGAGGGGATGAGAGTGTACGAGAGTGTATGAGGAGGGATGAGACTGGATGAGTGGGTTTGGGAGAGTATGAGAGGGGATGAGAGTGTATATGATAGTGGATGGAAGGGTATGAGAGTGTATGATAGTGTATAAGAGGGGATGAGAGGGGATGAGAGGGAATGAGAGTGAATGAGTAAGAGAGTGTATGTGGAGGGATGAGAGTGTATATGATAGGTTATGAGGGGGGATGAGAGGGGATGAAAGGCGATCAAAGTGAATGAGAGGGGATGAGAGTGGACAAGAGTGTATATGATAGTGGATGGGAGGGTATGAGAGTGAATGAGAGTGAATGAGAGTGGATAAGAGGGTATGAGAGGGGATGAGAGGGGATGAGAGGGAATAATAGTGTGTGAGATTGGATGAGAGGCGTTGAGAGTGTATGAGAGTGGATGAGAGGGAAAGAGTGGGGCTGAAAGAGGATGAAAGTGAATGAGAGGGAATGAGAGGGAATGAGAGATGATGAGAGGGAATGAGAGCGGATGTGAGGGAATGAGAGAGAATGAAAAGGAATGAGAGGGAATGAATAGGAATGAGAGGGATTGAGAAGGAATGAGAGTGATGAGAGGACATAAGAGGGGATGAGAGGGGATGTGAGGGGATAAGAGGGGATAAGTGTGAATGAGAGTGTATGGAAGTGTATGAGAGTGGATGAGAGCGGATTAGGAGGTATGAGTGTGTATGAGGAGATGAGAGTGTATGAGAGTGGATGAAGAGGGATGAGAGTGTGTAAGAGAGTGTATGAGAGTGTGTGAGAGTATATGAGAGGGGATGAGAGGGGATGAGAGGGGATGAGGGGATGAGAGGGGATGTGAGGGGATTCGAGGGGATGAGTGTGAATGAGAGTGCATGAGAGTGTATGAGTGTGTATGGGAGTCTATAAGAGGGGATGAGAGTGTATATGAGTGTATATGAGTGGGTACGAGAGGGTATGAGAGTGGATTAGAGGGAGTGACATGGGATGAGAGGGGATGAGAGGGGATGAGAGCGTATGAGAGTGAATGCGAGTGTATGAGAGTGTATAAGAGTGTATGTGAGGGGATGAGAGGGGATGAGAGGGGATGAGAAGGGATGAGAGGGAAAAAGAGGGAATGAGTGTGTATGAGACGGGGTGTGCGAGAGGGATGGAGAGGGGATGAGTGTGTATGAGAGGGGGTGTGCGAGAGGGATGGAGAGGGGATGAGTGTGTATGAGAGGGGATGTGCGAGAGGGATGGAAAGGGGATGAGTGTGTATGAGAGGGGGTGTGCGAGAGGGATGGAGAGGGGATGAGTGTGTATGAGAGGGGGTGTGCGAGAGGGATGGAGAGGGGATGAGTGTGTATGAGAGGGGGTGTGCGAGAGGGATGGAGAGGGGATGAGTGTGTATGAGAGGGGGTGTGCGAGAGGGATGGAGAGGGGATGAGTGTGTATGAGAGGGGGTGTGCAAGAGGGATGGAGAGGGGATGAGTGTGTATGAGAGGGGGTGTGCGAGAGGGATGGAGAGGGGATGAGTGTGTATGAGAGGGGGTGTGCGAGAGGGATGGAGAGGGGATGAGTGTGTATGAGAGGGGGTGTGCGAGAGGGATGGAGAGGGGATGAGTGTGTATGAGAGGGGGTGTGCGAAAGGGATGGAGAGGGGATGAGTGTGTATGAGAGGGGGTGTGCGAGAGGGATGGAGAGGGGATGAGTGTGTATGAGAGGAGGTGTGCGAGAGGGATGGAGAGGGGATGAGTGTGTATGAGAGGGGGTGTGCGAGAGGGATGGAGAGGGGATGAGTGTGTATGAGAGGGGGTGTGCGAGAGGGATGGAGAGGGGATGAGTGTGTATGAGAGGGGGTGTGCGAGAGGGATGGAGAGGGGATGAGTGTGTATGAGAGGGGGTGTGCGAGAGGGATGGAGAGGGGATGAGTGTGTATGAGAGGGGGTGTGCGAGAGGGATGGAGAGGGGATGAGTGTGTATGAGAGGGGGTGTGCGAGAGGGATGGAGAGGGAATGAGTGGCCTGGCACGAGAGAGGGAATTGCCATAATCGAGGCTTTGGCCGGGGATAACACGGCATGCGAGGGAGCACGAGAGAAAGATGGGTAGGAAACAAGGGAGCACGAGAGGGGAGGCTAGACGAGAGTGCATGGGCACACTGGTCTCGGCGGTGGACAGAGAGGCGCGACGCACTGAGCGGCGGGCTTTTGGCTTGGCGGATCGTCATGATGCGCCCAGCAGTGTGGCCGCATTGCACATCGCGACGGCGGCGGCCTGGTCGGCGCGATGCGCGGAGCGGCCAAAAGCTGGCCGCATTGCGCATCGCGACGGCGGCGGCCCGGTCGGCGCGATGCGCGGAGCGGCCAAACGCTGGCCGCAATGCGCATCGCGGCGGCGGCTGCTTTTGATCGTCTCGATGCGTCGAGCGGCGAGGTGGCCGCACTGCATCGCGCGACGACCGGGCCCGATAGGCGCGATGCGCGGAGCGGCGCGCCAGCCGCTGGGCGCATCGCGACAGCGGTCTGATCGAGTTTTTTTTGTGTGTTTTTTTTGTAATGTATATTATTGGTATTTATCGAGTAACAAGGGACTAAACGTGAACGGATGGGAAAAGGCTTTTGGGCTAAGGCACGCACCGTTGATAGACGTCAGGTGCTGCTAACGAATGCCCAGGATGAGTGACGGGGAAGGCAGCTGGCGAAAGCTATAGCTACTAGTAATCGCGTGAGTAATAGCTGATGGCGGGAAGTGAGTGAGTTCCGCTGGGGTCAAGCTTCTGTGCTTGGTTGGAACCGTAGCGGGCAGGGGGGTGTACAGCATGTAGGGTCGTGGTTTGGTTACGGTGGGCTGGAGGCTCGACGGTACAGGCGTGCATCAAACCTCTCTCCGCACGGTTTGGCGCGAGCGGGAAATCGGCCTGGTTTCAGGAATTTCAGGCGGGAGTTTCATGTGTTACCATTCGCGTGATTCTTTAGCTGTTGCTAGTGACTGATTCCGTGACCCCACTTACCAAGCCCGTCACGATACCCGATACAGTTACCGTACGCATATTTTTTTTACCATTGACGCTACGGGGTCACATGATTGTTACTTGTGGCATATTTTCCCTTACGTAAATGGCGGGAACTACGCTAACGGGAAGGCGTCAGAGTGTTGCGAACTCGTACACAAAGTTCGTGGCCAATCCGATCTGCTTGCGCCAAACGGTTTTCGGCCGGTTTTCGTGAGCCGTCAAGCTCCAACAAACCTCGAAACCTCCATGCGGTTCGGGCCATGACATGTGAATTGAGGGTGTGTTGCTGGGACATGCCGCACATTCGTCATCACGAGCCATCATGCCTTGAAAATGAATGGAAGTAGTTGTCATGGCGGGAGCTGCTGCTGAGCTGACCTTGCGAATGCCGCATGCAAGCTGAGGTGGGGGCATTTCAATCGTCGATTCAGCTGCAACCCACTCACAAGACAGTCTCAAGGGGGGATACTCTCACGGCTCCTTCTCGGTTGAGACCTAGCGCAGCACTGCGTTGAGCTCCACTTCAGGAAGAATCGCCATTTCATCCACCAGTGCTTGAAATCCATGGTCGTCCTTCAAAAGTCGCTGCTCTTCCCACGCGTGCTCGGAAGTGACCTTATTTCCTCGCATCCCTTCTGCGTAACCTCCGCTACCGTTTCGCCCGCAAATTTTTTCCTTCTTAAGGGTTATTACCGCTTCCGCGATATATGTAACCATGCTTTCCAATATCACATTATCAACTTTTCGAGTGCGTCCCTAGACTTCTCGAGGTGGTCTTAATCTGGGAAGAATAACTTTCTCAAGCGTTATATTCGACTAGTGACCACGCAGTAACAAGTATTAGAACCTGTAGCACGTATTTTAAATCGACTCGTAATGGAGGACGACTCGTACATCCCGCTAGGCACTCCGCCAATTCGCAAGCTCCCTACTGGCGCGGCGCGCCATGGCGGGCGATCCGCAGTGGTTCCGCGCAAGCGCCGCCGCATCCTCGACCCCGCGCACGTGGACGTCGCCGCCTCCCCCGGAGCCAGCCCCGAGCGGCGGTCTTTCGATTCCGACACGCCGACTCGAAGCGCGCACGACGCGCTGATCAAAAGCGCCCCCGGCGCTTCGGTTAGAAACCCGCCTGGCGCTTCGCGCGTGGAAGGTTTGTTTTCCGCGGGACAGACTGGTGAGGGTTTTTTGTCCGGCCGCCGTGTGTTGTTTCCGGACGGGAAGTTTGACGGGACTGGAAGGGGGAACGGCGGGAACGAAGTGGGGACGGAGGGGAAGGCTACCGAGGGAGTCGGGGGGGAGAGCGCATCGGGGGAAGTTGTTGGCGCAATGGCGGGATTGGCGGTTTACCGGCGACTGGCGTTTGGGGACGAGCGAGCGGGAGGGCGGGAGGGTAGTCGAACAATGACGTTCAACGCTGATAGCGGAGCCGAACGGGAGAGCGAGCAACCGGAAGAAGCGGGAGAGGGCAAGAACGAGGAGGCGGAAGAGGAGAAAGAGAGGGAGGTGAAGGAGAAGGCTGAGGAGAATGAGAGGGAGGTGGAGGAGGAGGTAGAGGAGGATGAATTGGAGCTAGAGATAGTTTATGAGGAAGAAGATGAGGGGGGGAAGGAGACAGAGGAGGGTGGCGAGGAGGGTGTGAGAGGAGAAAGCAAGGGAATCGGGGAAGAGACGGATAGAGATAAGGAGGCTAGAACGAAAGATCAGCTCAAGGTCTCAGGAGACCCAGGGATTGCCGAGATTGCCTCTGTCGCTATTCTGGCTACCAGTGCTGCTGTTGCCGCTGTCGCTGTAGCTGACAGTGCCGTGACTCGTTTCTCGTCGTCTAATAACGCGGACGGGGATGACCTCTTCCGCTGGAACCGCATCCATAGAGGGAGCGCCGGGCCGGGGGGGCGCGGAAGCGGAGCCAGTGGACCAAAGACACGTGGCGAGGTGCTGGCAGCCATGGTAGGCGTTCAGATGCCACGTCAGCAAGGGGTGCGAAGCCTGACGTCGGATCTGGAGGGGCGGGAAATTGCCGCAGCCGCAGCCGCAGCAGCTGCTGCAGCTGCAGGGGGGTTGAGAGGCGGACGGGCGGGTGTGTCCCCGATACAGTCACCTTCGAAAGGAGGAGCTACTAAAAGTGCAGTGAGAGGGGAAATAGGCGCAGAAGCAGGAGGAGGAGGTGGCGGAACGAGGAGCGCAAGAGCGGCAGCAGGGGTGGTAGCAGCAGGAGCAGCGAAGGCGGAGGCTGAAGATCTTCCACCACAGTATGCCCCCCTCTCCTCCCGCCCTGAACCGCCCTGAATCGTTCTGAACCGTCGTGTATCGCCAGATGTCCCCCTGTATCGCCCTGTGTCATGCTGTGCCCCCCTGTCCCCCCTGTATCTGTGTATCTCTTTCCCATCGTTCCCCAAGCCTTTCTACTCCTGCCCTTCAATTCACCATCGCCACCCCTCCCCCGTCCCTTTTCCCGCTTCCCCCTCCCCTTCCCCTTCCCGTTTCCCCCTCCCCTTCCCCTTCCCGTTTCCCCTCCCCATTCCCCTTCCTCTTTCCGTTCCCCGTCCCCTTCCTCTACCTCCTGACGTTTTCATAACCGTCTCTCCCACCTCTCCCTTCAACCTGAGAAGGTTCCTGGAAATCGCGCAGCTGTTTGACACGCTGGAGCTGAGCTGCCGCCTGCTGCGCGCGAGGAAGCTTCTGTGCTCCTTCCAGGCGATTAAAGACGCGGTGCAGGACGTGACTAAGCGGCGCTTCACTCAACGGCACCTGGCGCAGATGCTGTTCGTGGGGGGCGGAGGGGGCGGGGCAGGGGGAGGAGGGGACGGGGCAGGGGGAGGAGGGGGCGGGGCAGGGGAGGAGGGGGGGCGGGGCAGGGGGAGGAGGGGGCGGGGCAGGGGGAGGAGGGGGCGGGGCAGGGGGAGCAGGGGGCGGGGCAGGGGGAGGAGACGGCGGAAAGGTAGAAGAGGGAGGAGGTGGAGAGGGGGTAAGGGAAAAGGAGGAAGGAGGAAAGGAAGGGAAGCCCATATCGCTGAGTCCTGTTGCACTTAGCAAAGCAACACTTAGTAAAGCGGATGCTTTCAGCAGAGCATCTGCCCGCCAGGCTGTGCTTGGCGTTCCACTGCTTAGAGTGGAATCGGTTCTTCTACCCGAAAAAAACTCCTCTCCTGTGAAGTTCTCAGGGGCGGCAGGCAGGGTGGCAAGATTTGGACGTAGCGTGTGGGATCTGAAGATCATATTGGAAAGCGAAGGGGAAGGGAAGGGTGATGGTGGTGAAAGTGGTTTGGCTGAAGCTGCAGAAGGTGGTGAAGAGGGAGGCGAATTGGCAGGAGGCACGGCAGGCGGCATGGGAGGAAGCATTGGAGGAGGCATGGGAGGAGGCATGGGAGGAGGCATGGGAGGAGGCATGGCAGGAGGCATGGCAGGAGGCATGGGAGGAGGCATGGCAGGGGGGAGGGTGAGGAGCGAGGAGAGTGACATGCTGTGGCGGAAGAGAGAGTTCCGAGCCAGGCTGGGTAGACTGGCACGTGCCTTGGGGGCTGTGGGAGGCGACATGGGTGTGACTGCAGCAGATGTGACTGGAGCAGATGTGACTATACCGGAGGAGACTCTGCCAGACCCCCTCTCACCTTCCCCTGTGCCATCTGTCGATGCTCGTGCTTCTCTCAATGTTCAAACCAGTCACACTCAGTCTAGTCACACTCGCCATACTCATCCTAGCAGCCGCAGGAGTCTATTTCCTGATGCATCCACTAACCCTACCTCTGCCGAAGCTGGTCCAGGCTCGGTGCCAACAGCTGCACCTTTTGCCAGGCCTGTCTTGCAGGCCCGGTCAACCTCCCCGCGCCACCGCCATCGGCCTGCTTCGGCAGATAGGGTCGGCAGGAATCCAAACCCAGACTTGGGCGCTCGTGTGAGGGTTGACCTCACCCCATCACTGGATCGCTTGGCTCTCCGAACCAACGTAGGAGGCTCGGCAAGAGCAGCCGAGGCAGGGTCTGAGCAGGTTTGGCCGGCACGGCAGCTGCTGTTTGGAGGAACGGAGGATGGTGGGGTCAGTGGTGGGTCTGCCAGTGCTTCGGGTGCTGCAGATGCTACTGGTGCTGCTGTTGCTTCTACCACTGCGGCTGCTGCTGCTGCTGCAGTAACCAGAGAAGGAGTTGATGAGGGAGAGCAGGAGGTGTGGGGTGGGGATGTGGTGGGGGAGCTGGGCACACTGCAGCAGCAGGGAGTGGGAGAAGGTGGAGAGCAAGGAGGTGCGGTTGGGAGGGGTGAAGACAGCGATGGAGAGGGTGGGGGAAGTGACTCTGAGATCCTGTCCCGCCTGCCCCAGGGGCTTGTGCACTCGGTACGTTATACACTGTTTGGGTATACTCTGTTTAGTTTACTCTCCTGTAATTTGGTTACCATGCTGCTTTATTCTGTATTGAGTCTAACCAGAACCCTGTCCCCCTGGTATTTCTGCTGCCCTATGGTGTGACTGTGGTTGTTCCTGCCCCAACTTTCAGGTTCGGAAACGCGAGGAGCAGCAGCGTGCCGAGGCTACCGAGGAGGCTCGGCAGGCGCGGCGGCGGCGTCTGCTGCTGGCAGAGCTGCCTCTCCTGACCGACATGGTAGTCGCTCTCTTCGCCAGCTGTCGCGCTGCCGTGCTGCCACATAGGGACCTTGTGGTCCGGCTGGTGGCCAATCACAGCAAGCAGACCAACCAAGGTATGATCTGGTGGGGTACAAATTTGTTTATCGCCGTGTTTAAAACCTCATGTGTCCCCATCTGACTGCTGATTCGGCTCTCTGTTGTTGCAAGTTTGTTTCACCATTGACGGTGTTGACTTGTTTTACATCTAATCCCAGTGTTTCCATGTCCCTTTCTGCCCTATGTTCCAGAGGAGATTGAGGAGCAGTTGAAGCTTCTAGAGGAGATCGCGCCGGACTGGTTGTGTGCTAAGATGTCCCTTCGAGGGGAAAAACTGTATCGGTGAGTGTATTCATATATCATACCCCAATATGCTGTGTGCCTCTTCATTGTTGCTGCTAGAGGAATATGATGTTATACTAGCTATGTTCCTTTCCACATGCACAGGTTAGAAGGGCTTGGATCGGAGCACCTATGTTCTTGCTTCTCATGACTCATGACCCATGACTCATGACTCATCTCCCTTGCTCCCCAGGTTGTCTAAGGTGGTGATGGCTGCCCATGTCAAGGCTCGAGTGAAGGATGAGCAGAAGGTCGATCCAGAGCAGCACCAGCACGCACCACCACGCCGTTCTGTACATGGTGCTTCTGAAGTTCGGAGGAGCTTATTTTAGTAGCCTCGAGCAGGAAAATGAGGCGCTTCCAACAGGAGGTTAGATATTTTAGGTGCATAAGCTCAGAAGGCCTGACCAATGATAAATCCACTGATATGCATGAATCCACTTATATGAAAGGATATGGGCTGGGAGAATCTCCTTGGAGTTTGTACATTTTGCTGCTTCTTTAGGTAGATGTTTGTAGTAAACGTTGCTACATTCAACTGTTTTACACAAACGAACTCGGCGGTTCAGGGTTTGTGCCGTGTGCCATCTAGGCGGATCGTCCGAGGTGGCACGCTGGGGAAGCCCACGCAGACAGCATATCATTTTCGCCACGCCTGGCGTTCCACAAAAGGGGGAACACACACGCATTGATCCCGCCTTCCGTTTGATACCAGCAGAATATTTTCCCCCGCCCCGTGGTCAGAAGCGTTTCTCTGCAATGTTGCGAGTTTTAATACGGTGTGATACGGTTTGTTGGCGGATCTTGCTGGTTGGTTTTGTGCTCATGTTGCAGAATTCGGCATCTGCTTCAGATTCAAAAGCCTCTCTGAAATCCAGTTCAACGGAATCCACTTCTCAGTTTTGCCATTCTGAAGCTGCTGCTTCTTCCGCTGATCTTCATACGTGCCAGCCCCCTCAGCTTCAGCAGCAAACAAAAACAGACACAATGACGGTCAGTGATGGTCACATCCAGATTTTCCCGTGTCAAGTTCTGCCTTTGTCTTACTTACTCCAGTTGACAGAAATTCTGCTGCTCGGGGCTCCATTTCCATCTCTTTGTGGAGGCAATGATGTTACCTAACGCGGGCCCTTTTTTCTCGGTTTCAGGAACGATCCTACGTCATGATCAAGCCCGACGGCGTTCAACGCGGCCTTGTAAGTCGCATTCCGTGCCTCTGAAAGTTCTGAAGAACCCGACGTGGTTTTGATCAAGCTTCTTGCAAAACTTTGTTAAATGCTGTATGAACTGGCTCAGTGAGAAGCTTAAGGGACCGTTTGATTTTGTTAATTACTGCCTCTTCGAGAGTTCCTGTCATCTTGATCCCTCACATTGAACTCCGCAACCTTCTTTAAATCCCGACCTTTCCTAGAGGATCGTCTGCTCATTCCAGTACCTTGCGACTTCGTCACTTACCCTGCTTGCAGGTCGGGGAGATCATCGGCCGGTTCGAGCGCAAGGGTTTCGTTCTGCGAGGCCTGAAGCTGTTCCAGTGCCCCAAGGAGCTGGCAGAGGAGCACTACAAGGATCTCGCCGACAAGCCCTTCTACAAGGGCCTTGTCGACTACATCATCTCCGGCCCCGTTGTCGCCATGGTATGTGCATAGCCACACTCCTCGTGTTATGATTGGCGCTCGCGTGCAGTTAGCCAAGATTTGTTAGTCTTCGTGGATTGAAGGGTGTCAGAGCGTGGTGCGTGCAGTTACAGCAGCAGGACAGAGGAACAACCCAAAAAAAATTAGATTGTATCCCATGCACAGGAGTAGAAATATTTGCATGAACAGACTAACAATCGTTACGGTAACTTATCGAAACCTCACTCTAATGTTTTGCAGGCCTGGGAAGGCAAGGGTGTCGTGGCTTCAGCTCGCAAGCTGATTGGCGCCACCAACCCCCTTGCTTCTGAGCCTGGCACCATCCGTGGTGATCTCGCTGTTGAGGTTGGCAGGTAGGATCCACGTCCATCCATATCGTCTTTTAGTCAATTTTCGTATACATGTGGATCAGCCAGCGTTCTTTTGGGCGTTCACATTTGTTGAGCACCTTGTGTTCTGGTGTTTTTTTGGGTCTATTGTATTCACTTCACTCCGTGTTCTGCTCTTGCATCACAGGAATGTCGTGCACGGTAGTGACAGCGTGGAGAATGGCGAGCGTGAGATCGGTAAGGATACGCTTTCCTGCAATTTCTTTTAAACATGAGTCTTGTAGACATGGTCTGCAGCTGTTCTCATAACCCAATCGCTGCCCCCCTGTTCTTGCCGAACTGAGCATTCAGAGTTTTTGCTCGAAAATCAGTCTTTTGACTCATAAATTCCCTTGCATGTGCTCACTCACTTTGGCAGGCTTGTGGTTCAAGGAGGCAGAGATCATCAGCTGGGACCCTACACTCCTCCCCTGGCTGCGGGAGTAGAGCTGAATGAAGCTTTCATTACAGCTAGATTGCATCCGGCTTCATGAATTTGCAGTGACTGTTGCCTTTTGGCTGCCGATAATTACTACCGAATGCCATTAGACAAGGTACATTGCTATTATTGATATGTACAACAGGGATAAGCCAGTCAGACTCCGCCACGCGGAGAACAAGCAGTGTGTAATTTGCTGAGTATTGTGGCCACATCAAAGGAGCATTACGAAGATCATGATAATGCACTGACAACACTCAGGGTACATTCCGCTGTGGACATGTCCCAATCGTACATGTCCCAATCGGGTGTACCGCTCCGAACCGAACTAAACCAGAGAAGCGAAAATTTTGAAACTAGGGTGTAATTCGGTGTAATAAGATGCAGTGCGGTAGAATCGATTGGGACACATCGATTGGGACGCTGTCCACAGCGGAATGTACCCTCAGCTTTCCAATCTTTGCACCACCACCTGGAGAAGAACTTAGCATGTCTTTCCGTATCTCATCTTTCCTTGGGGGACATGCGGAGTGGAAGGCATTTATCTTGGTTGTAACCACGACATTTAGCATGCATGTAGCCACCCTCACACCATCCACCTTCAAAACTTGGGCGATGGATGCCAATTTGGTTGCACATTGCCCACTCATGTTTGGTAGCTGGACATTTTGTTGATATGAGGTCGAGCCCTGACCTTGCATGTTTATTGTTTATGGACGCATCGATCAATATCATTAAAACGTCTGGAACACATCACTCCCTCAACCAGGGGGTTGCAATAGGCTCCCAGTCGCAAAGCTCGCCCTCCTTGAACCAGAGCCCTGACCACAGGCGTACAACGTGCATGCAGGGGAGAGGGAGGGACCAGGGTGCATATGAGTGATGCTAGTCATGAAGTATGAAACGAGGGCAGGAACATGGAAGAAAGAAAACCAGGTCATCTCATGATATGAGCATGAAGTGAGGGAATGTGGGAGGGAGACGGATAAGCAAGAGTAAAATAAGGGAGAGAGGAGAGTTGGAGGGTGCAGGTTGGGAAAAGCGAGTGAGAGCACTCACCAATTTCGCGCTCGCCATTCTCAATGCTGTCACTGCCGTGGACAACATTCCTGGGGACATAGCACATGCAGAACATGTTAGTCATCTTGAACGTGCATGACTTGCACAGATCCTTCTATCGGACCAAGAGAATGCATTACCATTCAGCGCATGCCATGACATGCTTGTAAGTAACCATACCTGCCAACTTCCACAGCAAAGTCGCCACGGATGGTGCCTGGCTCCGCAGCCAAGGGGTTCGTGGCACCAATCAGCTTGCGGGCTGAAGCCACCACTCCCTTGCCTTCCCATACCTGCCAGTAAAAGGAGGTGGCATGAATGTCTAAGAGGATAATTCGACGATTCAGAACAATGACCACAATGCAGACAAGGAACGCGAAGTTACGCACTGCGGCTCATATCTTACCATGGCGACAACTGGGCCCGAAATGATGTACTCAACCAGCTTGCCATAGAACGGCTTCTCAGATAGCTCCTTGTAGTGCTCCTGTTCAGGATGCGACCCAGGGGAGGAGAGAGGACGGGGGGGGGGGGGGGGGAGGAAGTTTTTTAGGGGGAGAGGCGATTGGTTTTACAGAGGAGCAAAATATATGTAGGTTCTCTCGGAGTATGGCAAGTTAATCACGTGCAAGGTTCTAGTTTACTCTTCAATCTCTCTTTTTTTTTCCATGCGTAAGGCTCACCAAAACTGTGCCGATAGCACATTGTAGCGCGTTACACCTCCTTGCCAGGTTTCAAACCCCGTATGCTGTTTGAATTCTCACCTTAGCGAGGTCTTCAGGGCATTGGAACAGCTTCAGTCCACGGAGGACAAATCCCTTCCGCTCGAACCGAGTGATGATCTCACCCACCTGCAATCACCATGATGAAGAGAAATAGACTTGTGGACTCCAATGCAAGGGTGTGCATGAAACGGAATTGAGAATTCAGCATCATTGCGGCGAGTTTTAACCAGCGTTTGTAGAACCATGATAAAGACAAGCTTCACTCACCAGGCCTCGCTGCACACCATCGGGCTTGATCATAATGTAGGATCGTTCCACGGCCTATGGTGTGGGAAGCATCGAGGGAATGTCACAGGGAACGCAGAACCATGACTATTCATATTTGATGAAGGGGAAATGATAAATTCCATTCGTGTTATTACGAAGCTCTTTGAGGTCCCATTTTAAGTGATCAGCAGATTGCTTGCGTACAACTGTTATTGAAGCACTACCTAATCACGGCCTTGTGCACATACCTCCGCCATTGCCGAGGTAGCCGCAGCCTTGCGAACGATGCGCTTGGAGCTCGCCTGAAACAGAAACGAACGAGTTCGCAGATTCAGGACTTAAGGGTTGAAGACTGCTCACATCGCCCTGCTCTCATGACCCATTTACAAAGTCTTCAGCATTTGACAACAAGTAGTGGGTGTATCTTAGCTATAGTGAGCCGTAAATTACCTTGGCCACTGCCTGTCTAAGCTCCTGGCTGCGCCCAGTCAGTCGCTGCTCAGCAGCAAAGCTAAGATTCCTGCTACCAAAGCAGACACTAGCTTTCACAGACACATTTGTGCGGGCCTCCTGGCAGGAAGCCAAGGAGGCGACAGTGGCCGTAGGCCGAGCAGACAATGTGGCTGCCATGACAATGATCTAGTAGTCAAACCGATGTCACTGCGAGAGGGAGTGGGAGCGGTTTGAGTTGGCCTTGGTAGTGGGAGTGGTTTGAAAATGGCTGCAAGTCCAACCAAGTTATGGCTTCAGGAATTGGGAAGGTTGTGGCGCAAAACTTGGTTTCTCATTTCTCACTTCGCTTTTGTTTTCGCAGTTCGCATTCTGCTTTTCGCCCTCGCATTTCACATTTTGCCCTCAACATTTGCTGGTGAGAATAATCGAACCTGCAGATGCCATGTTGGCATTTCTAAGGACGTGGTGCAGAACGCCTTGGCACGCCCCGATGCACCGCGGTGCGCCGGGTTCCGAAGCTTCTGTGCACACGGGAACCCGGTGCATCGCCTCGTCCCTGGGCGTGCCTGGACGAGGCGATGCACCAACGCGTGCCAGCACGCCCCGGGGCGTGCTCTGGGCCGCCCCAGCATGTCAAAAGGCTTGCGAAATCTTGAAATTGTGGTTACGACCTAAACTGTCGCGCTTATAATCTCGTCAAAATTTTGTATGATTGCGATTTCTTCTTGGGGAGAGATCAGTTGCGAGATCTGTGTAACATTTGTTTTGGCGAAAACTTACCATGTAAACATTTCTTGGCCGAAATTAGTATTTTAGTCTGTCGTCTTCGCCCACTGCTGGTCGAAGGCTCTAACTCAGCTCTTGGAAAAATACCCGAAATTGAGATGCGTGCCACGGGGCGAGCTGGGGCGCGCCGGCACGCACCTGGACGCCTCGATGCACCGGGTCTGGACCCGTTCTGCACCACGTCCTAAATGTAGAAATGGATTGCGTGCCATGTTGACCACCACGTGGCGTACAACTGAACCTTTCACGTATTGACGTGGTCGTTGTGATCACAGCATACGTGGACTTCTTTGATCCGTTACAGCCGTACTCGTGCTTGGAGTAAAATCCACTTCCAGAAGGTGTGATGAACCAGGCCCACACACTCTGGCAGTGGCGGTGATGAGGGGTGACAGCAGCCAACGTCAGCTGTCACCAAGGAGACTGGTGCAGCAACTTCCTTCCTCGTCGGCACCACGTGCCAGAAAAGTGCCACCGAGAAGATCCTCCTTACCCACAAACAACCACGCCGACGTGACGTGGCCGAAATTCCACAGGCTCGTCAGTCAGCGGGCACGTTTTCCCGACTCTCGCCGCGGGAGCCCGTAAATCACTCAAGTCAGCCAGGCCGACTCGCAATTTCCTCGTGGGTGGGTGGCATCAACAACGCGAACAGAAAAGTTTTGCTAATGCGTGGGAATTTGGTGGCTACCTAAACAATTCGCCAAGTGTTCCACAAGGTGGACCGTGTCCACAGCGCCCGATGACAGCATGTGTGGACCCAAACTTGAAAGCGGAATTTTAGAGCATATTTGTTCATGTGACCGCTGGTGTAATTTACGCTGTGAAAAAAATATGAAACTCATCCGCGATTCCATCACCTTCTGACCAGCTTGGCAGGAGGTGTCCAGATGATTCCTCCATTTCGGGAAAAGATGATCCGCCAGCAGCATCGTGCACACCTTCCAGCTTTCCCCCTGAATTCCCTGTGGTGGCTGCCGCTCAAACAAATGTAGAAGCTCCCTTCGCATATTCTTCAACCAGAATCGACATCTTTCACAGATTCCTTCGATTGTCACTTCCCTCAAACTGACTCCATCCATTCCGTTATCACAAGCATTTGGTGTCCGTGTCGCACACCTGATCGGCTCCCCCTGCTTACGGTATCATTACTTTCTCTTAGCTTCAGCGAGTTACGCTGCCACACCAGCACACAACACAATGGCCCTCGCCATGTCGCCTGCTAAGGCCCTGTCTTCGTCTCTGGCTTCTGGCCTCGTCGGGCGATCCGTATCATCGGTGGCGTCTCCAATGCAAAGACCCAACTCTTCAGCGACTCAGTCCCTCATTCGTGCGGAGCTAATCTCTTCCGATAGTGCCGCATGGACGGGCGACTCGTTACGATCAGAGTTTGCTTCTGCAGCTGCCCACACTCCTGCTCCTGGTCTCCACCCCTCAAAACGATCTCCTAGCACTCCATCAGCATCTCTCACGGCCATGGGACCACTTGAAGAAGCTGGGGTTTCTATCCGGGTGAATCACTCGGCTACTCCCAAGTTCACCCCAGAGAAGGCCAGACTCCTGCGCATGCGGTTGAAGGAAAGCGAGGCCTATCACGACAGGATGTACCACTCCGGCCTTGCATCAAGACTCGCGTGAGTTCGCCGTTGAAGACTGCCTGCATTTAGGCCTAGGTTGAGTTGCTCTGGATTAACTGTGCTACGTGAGTAGTAAACGCTTCCGCAAATTCAGTAGAATTTGTTTTATTAAATGAAGTTCACTGTATCGTTACAATGAAATATGTTTCTAAAATCATGTTGAATCCGTGAATATCCTTGTCGTGCGTCGGCTAGAAGGAGCACTGATACCAACCAAGCTGGAAGAGAAATGGACAGAATCGACAACTGGAACATTGCGTCATCGCGCCCCCGACCTTTCCGCTGATGCATATGTGCGATCTTATGCGTCAGGCTTGTCCCATAGCCAGAACCGTAGCGCTATACCAACATTCACTTGCGCCGATTGCGACGCTCTGCTACTCGTTTATTCTCCCATGCTTTTGCCACTAATATGTATATTTTCGAAAGTTTTAGACTTTCTAAAATTACTTATTGTGAAAGAGCAGCAGCTTGTACGCAGCACAAGAAGCCATAGTCGAAGCGCTACTCGCCCTTCTCCGACTACAAAAGAAGGGGTTTCGGCCATTTGGCCTCACCCACGTTTTCATTTTTGAACTTTCAAGTTCAGTTTCCCCCTTGTTTATATGACGGGCAATGCTGTACTTGACCACAAGCAATGAAGACGATGCTTATTGCTAGTCAAGAAGCAAGCTTTCTCAATTGTGGCACTAATATCTTATTTCGCCCAATCCATTCCCGTAAGAGCAGGCACACAACCCAGTCGCATGCCCAACTAGAATTCTAAGAAAGAAGGCATCTAGAAGGGCAAATTCCATGTAAGGTAATAGGAACAACCCCAGTCAAAACATGGTATTGATTATTTTGAAATAGATTGAAACTTAGGGCACATCAAAGTGGATAACATACTTATTGTCGATTAGAGTTAACGGTCTCTGGCTAGACTCATTTATTAACATTAGTAGTGAACACGGATTCAGTCAATAGCATGAATTTCGGTAATTTCTCGCCGCCGAGCAATCTCGGTAAGACGAAGCACCACATGCTTCGAAGCGCGTCTTCCGACATTTTTCCCAACCTTTTTCTTCCAGCGAATTCCACGTTACGAAATTGAGCGGACGCGGGCAGAAGCATCCTGCCCGTCACAGTCGGTTGTGCGGCAGGCAAGATTTCAATCAATCCCGTCTCACCGCTGACCCACAGCTTGCCCATGAAGCAGCAGTCGCCAAGCTCCTAAAAAAAAAACATCAGTCGGCGGGAAGAGATGGCCAGTCAGCTCCCTCCCTTTCTTCCCAGACCAGATTCCACACCGGCGTCGCACCAACTTTATTTATTCCGTCGGGTCCACGCCAGCAATATTTCCACGCACGCGAGAAATTGACGGAATGTGCGATCCCTCCCCCTCTGCCCAAAATGCGGGAAATGTGAATCGTGATTACCGCGAACCCCCACAAACACCAAACACTCGTGCCTTGGGGACCACATTCCAGGAGCCACGTGAAAGTAGGCACCCGAAAATTAGGGAGGGTTGCGTGTAAAGGTCGGAGGATACTCAGCGAGTCAATGAGCGGCGCGCGAGTGGAAGGTGCGGTAGGTGAACGCCTGCTGGAAGACTGATCGCGCAACGCGTTTAGTTAGTCTCTTACTCCGTCAAGTACGGTCCCTGTTACTAAACCGACCTGCTTCATGTATATTAAGCACCTAAAACATACAATTTACCAATCGTCAAGCATTCGCAACTCTCGTGCTCTTGCTTTTATCCTCCGAAGAAATTCGTACACAGCAACCGCGACTTCGATCGGACTCTTGTTTACCACTTCCACCAGCTTTTAGCAAGCTCTTTCGCCCAAAGTTCCAAGGCTTCGTAGCGCGTGCAGTATCTCCTTGCACCTAGTTGACACAGAGCTCGAATTTCCAGCGATTTCAATGGCGATCTCCATGCAGAACACCCTCACCTCCTTCTTCCTTCAAAGTAACGCAACTCAGCAGCACGCCATACCTATCGCGGCCATCAATCCTGCTGCCAGTCGCAGGCGCACGGTGACACCCCTATTCACCACGGCAGCAGCCATGGCCAGCTCCGCTTCACCGCGACCAGGCGGCTCCCTCTCCTTCCACGCGCCTCCCTCAGGGTCAACTTGTATCGGTTCCCGACGCGAATCGTCGAAACACGGCGATCCTGCATCAATAAGGGCCTCGGCCTTGAACCGCGCAGAGGAGAACATCGGGAGATTATCTTCCGAGTCGTTCATGTCGCAACGCTGCTCTGGCGGCGGTCATCCGCGTCACTCCTCCTCCGTGACTACGACTTCCGCGTCGTTCGCGGATAACGCCGGACCGAGCTCTCCCGACGAGGTTCCTGTTCGGATAGGCTCCTCGCTCGCGAGTAAGTTCACTCCGGAGAAAGCCCGCCTGCTGCGCCAGAAGATGCGCACTGGAAAGCGAGTCGTACCACGATAGGATGTATCACTCGGGTCTTGCCTCCCGCTTGGCGTGATATTGCGGCCTTTGCTTCGATCCGGCTTGACAGGGCTGGCATGTACAGTGAAAGACTCTGAGAGCTCTTTGGCTTCTTAATGACTCTTTCTGAGGAAAGACGTACAATTTGGTTAGCGGGGTTGCACGTTTCAGTGCCTTGAGAGGTCCGTAGTCGTATTCACATACTCGATTGATTTATTCATTGTTCTGAGGAACTCTGCTAGTGCCCGTACTATACAGCTGTTTGTGTCCAAATCATTTTTGACTGAGAAAGGATTGTCTTTGCGAATTTCGATTCATGGATTTTTTCTCTCCCAAGAATCAAAACCCCCCCGAGCCTGATCTTTTCCTGATTATGTTTTTCCAGCACCAGCTCACATCAACGCATGGTACGGGAAGTCAGACCACATTGCTGCTTTCTGGCACTGATCAGTGTTATCCTGCACACCTGAGGCACTTCACGGTGCACAAACACATCAGTCTTCATGCTGGGACGAGATATTCACAGCAGCATTGACTGCTTCATTTGTTCAGCATGACCTTTGAGGAGAAAAGATTTCAACGTTGCCTTCATGAATCGTAATGGTAGCTGCTTGCAAATGCCCTGTCTGTCCTGCTGCTAAGTACAACCTAAGTACTGCAAGGACTTGAATCTAGTGAAACCGATATCCAATGTTGTACTTCACCTGTTTAGATTGAATATGCATTTTTACACGCTATTTGTTAGACTTAGAGAATAAATGCAATTAGGCTTAGGTCTTGTGACCCCTGTTGGTCTAAATGTTGAGCAAAGCTGGGCAAATATCCTGACCGGCTGAATATATATAAATCAAGACATATGAACTATGCAGCTGATGGAAGGCTGCATGGGGATTGTAGCATCAGCAGATCCTCACCTTTATAGATTTTAATTAAATGTATTGGGTGCTTATAAGCACATTCTGCGTTGTGGCACATTCAGGGGTGCTGATCAGGGGGACGTGGAAAGCAGATTCGTCCACGCAGGTAGGGGTCCCTTTCGCGATTAGGGCGAACGTGTAAAGAGCCAGCAGATGCAAAAAACCAGTCCATGATCATCGCCGAAATTTGCGCGGCTGCTGAAAGACCCCCATCCACCGCTTTTTGAATATCGCACTCAGTCGCAACGCATGCTAACAGCTGTCCGCGTCATCTTTCGCAGATCCAGTTCCGCTGACGCGACTGCACGGCTGAAGGCTGCCAACAGCGATGCGCCATGCCCAAAGCCACGGCCAGGTGTCCGCCAGCACCTGGCTGCAAACTTCAGGCGATGCGCAGTTGATCCCAATCTCCCACAAGCTGACCTGTAGCATTGTCACCTGTGACGAAGCGGCTCATTACAGCTGGGTAACATTCGACTCCTCCGACGCATCTGCGACACCAGTTGTGGAACATTCCGTCGCACAATCGAGATTCAACGCATTTTTCGTTTCGTTCACCTGCAGATCTTCCCTGACTGTAACGCAGAGTTGTGTTTCCGTGCAGTTCAGCAGCAGGGATCACTACCAGCCTAGCACTGATAGAACAGCAAGCTCCGTCCAACCGAGCAAAAACGCGCTTCGCAGTCAATCGTGTAAAGCAAAAATCCAGTCATTGCTTGAGGGCTAAAACAGGCGTGAAATTGGCATCCGTAATCACAATTATTCAATCGCCACGTTCAAGTTCCACGATAGCTGCTCTTCGTCTCTCCAGTTGCTGTCTTCACCTTCACATTTTTGTTTTCCAGTATCGTAACTCTCTGGCGAGTATTCTTTCTCAGACATGGCTACGATTCTAGTCTCTTCATTCACTGGCCATTGCTTGGTGGTTGACTCAACAAAGGGTCTGTCGATGCAGTCCAGCTGCGATAGTTCGTGCGTGACTGCCAACGCCAACGTGGATTTCGCTGCCAAGCGGCATCATAAGGATCAGCGATCAGAGCAGCTGAAGCTGAATACGGAGTCACTGCAGTTGTTACCCCGAGCAGCTGATGATTTCATCGCAATCACGACGGATGAAAAGCGGGCTCCGAAGTTTACTCCTGAGAAGGCCAGGCTTCTGCGGCTGTCTCTCCGAAAAACGGACTCTCATCACGATGCTATGTATCACTCCGGGCTTGCCTCTCGTCTCGCTTGACGAGCACTTGGCTGTTGGGCATGACAGCCTCCATGGTCTCCTGGAAGGTGCCTTTCAGGATGCCTTCAATTTTGTGCAGGGCTGCCTCTTTGATGGCGCCATTACCATTCCGTGTCACTAGTCGTACAGTTGCTTGTTACATAGAGCAGTTCAGAGATGCAATGTACAGTGAACGATCAATAATTTTGTGCATCCTTCTGACCTCGACCCGTTTTCTACATGTTCATCAATCAATATCTGATAAGCGAAGACCTCACCTTCATGAAACTTTTGACCTCCACTTTGAACAGGGCACCTAAGTTGCTTTTGTGAAACGTCACAGTTTAGCAAATGTTGCAGCGTTTCTATCAATGGATTCATGACCCACCATGTTTCAACCGTCAATTAATTTCACGACAGAAAACTGAAAAAAATAGTATCAGGGTGCAAAACGCCTTGCAATACCATCGTATGCAGTGCTCGAGGATTTTTGAAAGGTGTTTTCGGGCGCAATAACGTAGACACATCTACGGTAGCTATCGAACACATATGCCAGAACAAATGTGTTTGGGAATATCTTTATTGAACGAAGTCAATTGTTCAACAATATGTACAAAAAACCAATTGGGGGCTACGTGCGGCCTTGCACACGTTGACGACCCGCATCTATGTATAGGAGCCAAAACTGTTGACGAAGTGGAGACTGAAGTCGCAAAACTCCCGTGACCTGCGAAACTCAAGCGAGTCGCGATGCCAGGCCCGAATGGTACATAGTGTCGTGGAATGACTCGCTCTCGCGTAGCTTTTGCCTTAGGAGGCGAGCTTTCTCCGCACTGAAGGTGGTCCTTGTACCAGCGTGTACGCCGACAGGGATCGAGCCGTCAGCAGCGCGAAGCGATGCAGCAGATGCCTTGGCAGGAGTGGACGTCCGAGCCTTTTCTTGAAATGCGTCTGGGACACTCAGTCTCTGAGGAGACTGGACGGAAAGCGATAGGTTGATAGGCGGCTGCGACGGAACTGACATTGTGAATCTGGCGATGTCGAGCGAGGCATCCTTCTGTACACAGGCGATGGACTGTCCGAAGAGGGTTGAGTGGACTGACGAGGTGACAGCGGAAGCCATGGTGGCAGATCTAAGTTTTGCAGGATGAAGAAGGGGAAGCTGGTGGCTCAGTAGACCAGATCGACAGTAATAGAAGGTTAATCGCTGTTGATAGACTGCTAATGGAATCTGGATATGGAGCCTTTGTACGTGCTCTGGCTTCGTGGATGCGCCGTGGTGTTGTGGGAGGGACGATGAGAGCCATTTGGCAGTGTGGGGCGAAAAAAGCGCAAAGCGCAGGTGCGGTAGTTGGTTGGGTGGACTAACCTGGTTACGGCTTGAAGGCTGGGGGGTAGTTGGGGTAACCCAGGAGGTGCGGATGTGCCCAGTTTGGGAAGGGTCTGACTCTCGTTGGGATGGTAATGCCCCTGTATCTGATTTGGGGAGGGGTCCAAACTCATATTCCCGCCGTAGCTGGATAATTCTTACGTGAGAGACGACTAGAAGAGGCTTCACTGGCTCGAAGGCAGTGTAGCATTTAACCCAGAAGTGCGAGACAGAGACGTTGTTTGCCCGCTCGATTAAGTGTTTCTGAAAACATTAAAGAGAGTTGTCTTCCCATTCCGTGTGTCGTTTCGACCCATGTGCCTCATGATTTTACCGAGTTGTTTGCACGCTGCACCATCGCGTGTGACGCGGCTGCGACTAGTGCGACTGCTATGACTGCCCTGCCCACGTGAAAGGCAACTTCCATGTGGCGGATCAAAGGGGGGAGCCGAACCGCAGAGAAACTGGATGACCGATTTTTGTTTCTCAGTTGCGGCGAGATGTCCGGCTCAAATTTCGGGCCCGTGAATTACGTAAACTGGATGAGGTTGACGTGCTAACTTGGAGTTATGCGTCAGCACCGAGGGTGACTTCAATTACTCACTTGAAAGTGGCTCACTTGGAAGACGAGAGTGATGTCAATGTATCCTCGAGTGCTATACCTGTATTTGACTTGTCGCTCATGAAATGCATGATAAATAATTTTTACAAAAACATAGAACGAAATTAACATACTCTTCCTTGGACCTCTTTCATTCCCATGTATATGCTTATCCTGGAATGTGCTCAGATAACCATGCTGATATGGTCACTTCCAGTCCAAACAGCTAATATGCGGTCGCGTCACGGTAATATATCACATCACATCCCCATCACATCACTTGAGACAGCCTTGCGAGCAGCAGCCATGGCTTCTCCGCTGGAATTAGTCACCAGCGGCCGTCACGAATAGCAATGAAGGGTTTCAGCGTATTGGACGAGCCGTCTCCTGAAACTGGTCTGTCAGATGGGATGACGGTCCATTTTCGAAGCCATGTCCTGTCAGTCCTGTCCAACGCGGCATTGCCGACTTCGTGGCATGGTGCCATTGGTCCTGACTGTTTGAACGATGCAGATTACAGCTTGTTCATACAAATGCATCGCAATCATAGCACCTCCTCGCGTGGAGGCTAATTCGCGTCAGGCTTCGCGGAATAATCAGGAATCTCTTCCCGCTGCTGATTCCGTGACTGGCATGAGAGCAGACACGAGGGCTCACGTGACTGGAAGGCAGGAGGAAGGTGTGAAACTTCACAAAACGTCCCGTCATGCCCAGCAAAGGGTTCATTCATCTCGGGAAACCCCGCTGCCATGATCCAACTCTCCTAGTCCGTTTCCCGCAGCGGCATCGTATGTCGCGTCTTTCTCTCCAGCGTGGCATCGAGCCCGCTGCTGATTGGTCGATCTCATCATCCCAGGCCGCGACCGCTCCGAGGCTCTTGATTTGCGGTTCTGGAAGCTCCAAGTATCCTGCCTTGTCGGTTTTCTCGACGTGACCTGAAGAGTATATCTGAACGCACCTGTGGAACTTCTGTATCAGCTTGTCCTGGTTGTTATCGGAGGTTTCAGCCGTCGCTCTGCGATTGGCTAGGCTTCGACATTCCCAGGGCTGACTGATCTTTGGACTTTCTAAAGTTGTCCGTTGCGTCAGGGTCGTTCTGGGCCTTCCGAGAAACGCCTACGAGTCCTTCGGTCTGACTGGCTGTGGCTTGAGCTGTTCAGGCGCAAGGTGCGGGGATCAGATAAAAGAGCTCGAAATTTGGCACAAGTCCGCAGCCAGGATTACTCCTGACTCCCCTTCGCTGCGTTGGTCCCACCACTGCTGTACGCCGTAACGTTAGTCAATTCATTCCAATCGTTTAAATCTCATCAGCATCAACCAGCAGTACAAGAATCTGCATCATCTTCA